ACATCGGCAACGCATGGCAACATCGGCAACAACATCAACCGCGGCAACATGGGCAACGCATGGCCAAGCATGGCAACATGGGCAACGCATGGCAACATCGGCAACAACGGCAACAACGGCAACAACGGCAACGCATGGACAACAACGGCAACGCATGGCAACGCATGACAACAAATGGCCACATTGGCAACGCGTTCAAATCAATGACCCAACAAATTTATTTTCTTGAACCATAGATACAACGGAATAACATGGCTATTCCGTTGGCAAATTCGCCATCGACATCGATCCCCCGTTCACATCGTTCACATCGTTCACCCCGTTCACACCGTTCACACCGTTTACACCGTTTACACCAATCACATTTGTTACAGCGGCAACAAGGGCAACAGCGGCCAACACACGAAACAGAGGCAACGCGATTCATTCAGTCAGCGCGGACCATTCAGGCAAGAATTGTGCAACCAGGACGGATCGTCCGTCCAGTTCCAGGTTTTGCAGAGACAGCAGCTATCAACGACACGACAAGAGTCGAGGTCGAGGGAAGATTTTGCGAGCCAAAAGAGGTGAACAATACGATTAGTAGCGGTAAAGGCATGTAATCATATAGTGGACGTGTCGGACGCGTCGGAACTTCTTGATGATAGGCAGAAACACGAACTTCGCTCTTAAAGCTCAAGCACGAGGTATTTCTTCGACACGGAGCTCTGATCTTCGAATCTGCATCCATTCAATTATTCCGCGATGTAATTTATTTTGGCTTATTTGCTATACAGATGCTTAAATGGTTACAAGATACAGTACTAGTCTCGCCCCCACTCTATATAGACATCAATCATCAACAACAAGGACCACAGAAGCATGCCCAAAGTTAAGACATCTGGAACAGAATCTGTTCAATCTCACTCAACATGAGTGTGTCTTCATCTCTACCATTCCCCTCTTGTTCATTATCTCCCGCCTCCGAACCATCTTCTTGTTTTAAATCAGTAGCTGAATAGCTGGTTCCACTACTGGTTGTTGGAGCAATCATTACTCCCGAATCACCTTCTGGTTCTTCCCCTTCTACTGTTCTATAATCCCACAACGTTTGTATCATTTGTTCGTAATGGCGAGGATTATCTGCCTTTATTCTTTCAAGCTCTTCCAAGATTGAGTGATACAATGGAAAAGTGCGGACTCGTTTCTTTGACGACAAAGGAAGCTTGAGAGCACTGTCGACCTAACGTAGAAATTGAAAGTAGAAGTAGCCAGATATTCGTCGGTAGTTGAAAGTCAACTTATGATAGCTAAACGACGTACTGTTGCGGCGGCGAAGGCAACAGCACAGGGAGTATAAGAGGTCACGCTCCATCTTGATAAGGTTTTGCCAGGAAAGAAGAGTAGCAGTGCTTGTCCGAGGAGAGCTGACGTGTATTTCTAAAATTGTGTGTGAAACACAATTCGAATATATGATTGAAGCACATCTTTGTTGTTACCTGATCTGCGGACGAATGCAAGTGTTTTCCTGACCCCAACAGTTCATTACAAGCAATCTCGAGAGCTTGGCTGTCTGCAGCGTCAACATTCAGGAATTGTGTTTGCTTAGCACGAAATATCTTCCTGAGATAAGCGCAGGCATCGGTAAAGATATTTTTCGCCTATACAAAGTTTGTATCAGATTTCCGCCACAAAAAAAGTGACTTCATCAGAGCCTCTTGATGGTCTTGTTTTTACCATGATCTCAGTGATATACTCCAAATACTTTGTCCGATCACCAAATTCTTCCAACGAAGACTGCTCAATAACATCAGTCTAGAAGAGAAATGTTAAAGCGGTCAGTCCGCCAACTGTTGGGTTGAAACACGTTTTGACTCTTACAATACATACCTTTGGAGAAAAACTGTGCTTGTACATATTCTTACGAACAGTATCTTTGAAGCGCCGTTTGGTAGCCTCCTTTTGCATCTCAGCTTTTGTCCTCTTCTTCCTCGTCTCTGCATGACTACCTTCAGCGTTCGTCGAAGCACCTGAAGCAGCTAGTATTGTATTTTCTTCCACCATCTCTAAATCTTCGCGTTCTGCAGCTTCTAATTGTGATAATTCAGCCTGTAAAGATGTCACTTTGTGAACAAGGTGTTCGATCTTGGAATGACTAGGTTCATAGATTTTTTGAAGGTCAGCGAAATTCATTCTGTGATCTTGAATGGCATTCAAAGAGGTATATAAAACACTCACGATTCCTCTGCACGAGTAGCGAATAAAGTAGCAAGTTGATCCAGCCTCGTCAACAAAAATGTTGTGGTGGCAGATTCGTCAATCTACACGATCAAAGTGAAGAAAAAGTAAGCAACTAGATAAATATTTTAATAATAAGTTCAAATAAATCCATCAAAATCATCCTTTGTTCACACCTTGTCTGTTTGAATGTCAACCATCTTCTTGACTTTTGTAAGCCAGCCTCTGCCAAGACCAGGAACTGCACTAGTCTTGGCTATCTTTCCAGTGCTTGATGACGAGGCTGATGAGTCATCTTCTGCTAACGGTCTTTTGGACATGTTTGGTGATGTTTGGATTTTTGGATTGGACGAACTGCGGATTCAACGTGATTTGCGACAGAAAGGCCAACACCCTATATTGAATTCAAGATTGAAATATTGAAAAAAGACCCGTCTAACTTGTATTGGTATCGTGTTTCGCCACTGTTCAGGATTGTCAATACCTGAAATCAGAGCGCCTAATTTTCGCGTTTAACCGCATTTCCAGATCAGTTTCGAGGTGCTAATCCCAATATCACTGTGAATCGAGCATACCTTTACCAGAAAAACCACATTCGACCCGTAATACTGTGCATTTCATGATATATGTATGTGCAAAAGGCGATACCATTATGTAAAGGTAAACTTATGTTACAAAAACTGGATCCACCAGTTGAAAATGCAAATAGCACAAGCAAATATACGTTTCAGATAGTGCGTTTTACTTTCTTTTGTTTCGTGCTTTAACTTATACCCTCCGAGCCAGTTGTGTCCATTCAATTATCCGTCAATGCCTTATTATCGGTTGCCTCTGTTCACAGTACCTCAGCAACGCCGTCTTCAAATCAGTCACACTAGCCGGCTTGGACACAAAATCCTGCATCCCAACTTCATGACATTTAACACGATCATCCCAAAATGCATTAGCAGTCAACCCCACAATCCACGGTCGTTCCAATCCATATTTGGCTCGTATAGCTCTCGTGCATTCATACCCGTCCATGTTGGGCATCATAATATCCATCAAGACCACTTCATACTTGTTGGGGTCTGCATCAACCATGGCGAATCCTTCTATACCATCGTTTGCTATACTTATATCCGACACCCGTTGACCCAGTCGAGACAGCATTTTGGTGATTACAAGTTGATTTACATTGTTGTCTTCTACTATGAGGATTCGAAGCGGTGGTACACCGTGTATGGATGATGACGAGACTGTCCGGACAGGCATAGTGATTGCTGAATGGTTTCGTTCCCCGTTTGTGGCTTTTGGCGTTGGCAGCGTGCTAAAGTCAACGGATGCCGATCTTTGTTGTGGGAATGCAATTGATGATGACAGAGAACCAACCGAAGGGGGACACTCGGATTCTGACCTCATAGGAAGCTCATCACCAGGAAGCGGCACAGCAAATGTTATCGGTGGTTTGCTACATATGACTTCCACAAATCGTGCGAATTCACCCAACTTCAATGGTCGTTGTGCTGTTAGTGCACTCTTGCTGACTGGAAGCGTTAATACACTTGGGCGTCGTGACTTGTGTGCCACAAATCCGTACAAGACCAGGAAGCGAGATCCATATACTGCTGTCAGGCTTTCCAGCAATTCTATATCCTTTGTGCTCGGAACCGTTGGCATGTTGATGACTATGCCATGCAAATATATACGAGCATCCAAGAGCTCTTGCAGATTATTAAATGGTTTTGCCTCTATGCTCGAAGAGCAATGTAGTGCTAGAAGATATAATTGCGATTAGATTTCTCAGACCAAAATGCAAGAGACACGAGAGGCATAGAACTCACCAAGTTGCTTCAGACCATGTAGAGAGTTTGGATTCGAGTCCACAATGCCAATTCTTGTACTATTATACTTTAAATCAGGTAGGGAGGCAAGCGCAAATGAGACTGGCGTCTCCCATTCCTCTTCTCGATACTCGTCTAGATGCACCACCAAATTGAATTGAGTTCCACGCTCGGCTGGATTTGGGCAAACATCTATAGAGCCACCCATATGCCTGATTCAAGAGAGTTGATTGTTGATTGACAAGGTAGAAATGCGAGAAGACAAACACCAATGCACATACTGGCAAAGAGTCTTTGCGATAGCCAGACCAAGTCCGGTTCCACCATATCTTCGGGTATGACTCTACGGGGAGGTTGCTATGTTGAGTCGCCTGATTTCCAAGCTCGAATATGCAAGAGTCGAACGCGCACACACATTCAAACACAATGCAATCAAACGACGCGACACGATTACTCACTGCATCAGCTTGTGAGAATTTTTGGAAGAGCCTGGACACATCCTCTGCACGTATACCAATACCGGTATCGGTTACAGTAACATGAATGCTAACTTTACCAGGACCTTTAGGGGGAATCGCCGATCTAACTTGTACCGTTACTAGAATGCGAGAAGTGGAATCAGATCAGCAGAATCTTCCTCTTTGTCATCATCACATCATTTTCGTGGTCGGTGACAAAAAAAACCATCGAAAGTAACGTACCCGTGCCAGACGGTTCAGTAAATTTACATCCATTAGCCAACAAGTTGACGATGATTTGACGGAATCGAGTCTAAATGACCGAGCAGACACAATCAGCGAATCAGCAGAAAATTTCAGCACCCTATTACCTCATAATTACCACATCTCCAACAACAACTGATGGTATATCATGACTAGGACCAATCAATATAATCTGTGGGAACTTGGCATCACCATCTTGAACTGCCACAACATCAGCAGCCATTTCAAGAGCTTCTCGTAACACAAACGGCGAACGATCCAGATGGAATTGTTCATCCTCGTATTTAGCAAAGTCGAGAATATTGTTGACTATTGTAACCAACATTTGAGCACTGCCTCGTGCCAGGTCCATCATGTCGAGGACTTCTTTCGCGGCGGGTGTATGTAGAGCTTCCATTTCTGAGATCATGGCAAGAAGGGATGATATGGCGAATAATGGTGTTCTGTTTTTAAAGAAGGAATCAGAATCAATACCTTCGTTTGGTGCAACCAAAAAAAACGACACAAAACAATCGTTTACCTCATCTCATGAGACATCACTGCGGTAAAATCTTTGGCAGCTTGAGCGAATTTAACTTCCTTCCTGGCCTCAGTCAATGCCTGATTCTGCTCTTCTAACTGAGCAATCAAGAATCGATCCTTCAAAATCAGATTTGCTTGCGCTCTGGCAATCGACACCTGTTCAGCCAAATCCAGCAACAATGTAGCAGTCCCAAATTCTTCCTCAGTTTCTAGCTCATCAATAGTATCTTTACAGACAAGCACCAGCAATCCATTCTGCTCGTCTCCCAGATTCGTCGGCACGATTAAAGCCTTTTCTCTCGTCGACAGTCCAAAATAGGTCGATAAGGGAGTCTTGCTACGACCACATATAGTGACAGGTTTTAGTAATCGATCAAACGACGGCTGTACATCTTTGATTTCGGGTGGTGCGAGAGTGCCGAGTAGAACTGGCGCTACTGTAGTCGGTGGGATTATAAGTCTGGTATCTTCATCCATTGTTTGTAGATCAGTCTCCTCCGAATCCACGTCATTGGAGGATTCTGCGAGGTGCTCGGCAATGCACTCGAGTACATTATCATGGTTTGGTTGGAAGATCATGCATCTTTTAGCACCTTCTACTTTTGTGGCGATTTCTTTTACGGCCGTGTTTAAGATTTCTTGCTTTTTCTGTGGCGTATGCACTAAAAAGTGATATCTGATATTGTGCACAATGTCTCGAAAGAGTTTCATCTGTGTGAATGAGGTGGCAAAGTGAGCTTGTCTTCTTCTGGTACTATGAACAGCTCGCTACCTTACATGGTTGAATTCACCAAGGAGTATTCGTTCAGCACGAAGCCTTTGGACTATTTGAGTCTCGACTGACTTGACATATCTGTCAATTTTGATAATTAGATTTGTTAGAAACACGAATCGACTGTAGAAAACCACTACAATAACATACTTTGGATATGCAACAGCATGAGGTATTGCAAAAAACAAGGCGACGGCTGTAAAACAACTAACTACAGCCGTCAGAATCTTTAACGCCGCTATATACCACAAAATGGTAGGATCTTCATATTAGATGTTCTGTATGGAAAAATGTGCAATGAACGCAAATATCTGACAAAATCATTTACTTGAAACCCAATGTATAGAAGGGTGCCATGGCATCCAAGCTGCACTGAGATGTGTCATTCCGCAACAGAATATGAATAGTATAAATAATGAGGTTATTTGAGGGTACGGGCTAGAGTCCAGGATGAATGTTTAGACCATCATACAGTTTGACAATGAAAAAACCTTGTATGCTGATAAACACGTCAAACTCACAACTCGTTTGCCCGAATCAAAAAATACAAGAGCTCGATGGGGATTGAAAAGTATGCAATCGTGATTAATATATCACTTGCAGCAGCCAAAATGGTCTCTGTACCAATTGGTTGCGAGGCTAAAACCGGGGGGCGAAACACATGTCAACTCTTGAAAGCAAAGACACACACACACACAAAATGGATATTGGGCTGAAGGAACACTTGCATAGTGATGAATACATACTGGATGAGTTATCCGATGAGCACGGTGAGGTCAAAGTCAAAACTCCAGTGTCTGGAAACAGTTGATGTTGACCTCCCACATTGTAACCTAACACATACTCCTGAATGGATGGATCAGCCTGATATACGGCTGAAAATACAATAGAAAAAAACAGTTAGAACTTTCTGCTCTCTTTGAAACAGCAATGCCAAAAAACCATGTACCAGAGTAGAGAATCTGTGCATAATTATTGGTAACGACTGTAGCAGGGACCGAGATTGGCTTTCCCGGAGGGAAGGCGTATATACTTATAGCACTCTGATCTAGTTGACTAGTACTAGATAACCATACAAGAAGTATACTGCAATTAGCTAGTATCTCGATTCCGCCTGAAACCATTTTTCTGTAGCAAATGTTAAAAGGGAGCACGGTGTGTTGTTGCACTTGAAGGGGTGCGTATTGAAGAATTACACTTAGAAAGCAGGTCGGCCTCGTCCCGGCATTCGACTCCTGCAGCGCTACTGCTACAAGCTGTCTACGTCGCTGTTATAGATCGCTTGAGTCAACTCGTGTGAGGATAAAGTGGAGAAAGTAAGCGATGTTCTAATCTGTACCACGGTTCGGACGACTCAGCCAAACTCACGACGTCGCTCTAGGTTGATGATGTAAGATCTAAAATAATGGAAATGAGACAGAGAAACTTTAAAAAAATTGAGCATGAATGCGATGTCATGCACCTCAGTGCAGCTTGCTCGGCATCATGGAAAAATATCGCTGGTCATCTGGTTCCCTTTGACTCTACGACAAACATTCACGGGGACAAGCAAAAGACCGGACGAGCGCTCAAGCATTCGTCATCGAAAATGGGAGCATGGACCGTTAAGGTCCCAACGTCAGCAACCTGGGTCGTGTAAACAAGGCCCCCTTGCCAGCTTTGGCCTTTGACCAAGTCCTCCACTCCAACGCACATGAGCAGACTCTGAGACATGATTTCTTCTGCGACGGATAGATAAAGACTGTGATGTGGGAGTGCTACTATAAATATATTTTGGAAAAATAGGTTTTGTTGCTGTTTGTGCCGGCACGTGTTTTTCATGGTCTATATGAGTTATCAACAATGGCTGTATACGCCTTAGCAGTTTCAACTGCATCTTCATCCAGGTCAGAATCAGCACTGTCATTAAGCAGCAAATGACAATAATCGTCGGGCATTGTTCCAAACAATGCGGACAGAATCACCCCCAAACAGTCGATCTCCTTGGCCACTAAAAAGTTCAGAGGTTAGCACAGATGTAAAGCATTCAGGTTGCTACAAGAACGAAACGGTAGCATCAAGGTTGATTGACACTTGGATACAATCAGCCTAGTGTCATGCAACGGGGCTTGCGACGACAAACTTGGTGGTAGCCATTATCTCTTTTTCATACCATTCTTCATGCAAATGGCCCAGCTGTAGAATCTAGGGACGTGGTGTTTTGTTTAGTTGAGAATAAGCGGCATATTGCATTATTGTTTGTCCAACCCGCCAATTTGCAACACTCGGATTTGTCAAGATACCTGATAAAGTCGCGACTGGTTTGAATCTCACGATTCTGAGGTCCACTTTTGCTGAGCGCTGTTCTGATAAAGGTCCCAAATAGTGCATGTCGAGATTTTTCGCAAGATGGCAAGCTCGGTGGCAGTGGTTGCTTATAAGACAATGTAGATGCAAATAAATAGAGCAAGAGCCTAGAGTAAAGTGTTGCATTCAGCTGCATGTAGTATCATTGAGTTTAAAGACCAAAACACACCTGGTTGTTGATTGAAAATCAAAACGAGCTTTTTGAACCTCGGCAGAGGTATACGACATGGCGACAAACGGCTTGTCCCCACATGCACATCGTGCTGATATCAAGCGATCCACAATAGACGATAGGGTTGATATTAGGGCGGCATATTGTTCGGATTCAAACAGCCCTTCAAGTCTCGGTTCAACCTAAGACAGCAGACGACTCGTGTGAGTCCAACTGCCAAACACACTTTGTTTTTCACTAGATACCTTAGCGTATTCTTGTAAGGTAGCTAGTCTTGAAAACATGTCTGGTAGCGATGCCTGTATCCTTGTAACATTCGACAACATTTGTTCTCTCAAACCTGTTTCATTGGCTACCTCTTTGGCGACTCGACCAGGAAGAACCAAATATGTCAGAGAAACCAGCTCTGTATAAAACTAAAAGAGGAGGTGTTTGATAATGAAAGGAACCGTAAGCGAGGACACAACTGTCGTTTTTGCGAGCTTCGCAAAGCCCAGGTGAACTTACTTGATCAATCCTAGCAATGATTGCTGATATCTCCTCCCTCAACACACGTCGAGCGAGATTGGGAAGAATAACCACCGATAAAAGTCCAGCAAACCCGATTGACATGGATGTAATGGCCAATTGGTGGTAGAATCGTACAGCAGGTGCTGCATATGGCAGTCCATCCGGTCCATTGAATCGATAAAGATATGATAATGTCATGGCCTGTTGAGGGGCAAGATGCACTAAAACGTTAGAATATATTCGCAACAACATATGTTTGGATTAACTTACGTTGCTGAAGGAAAACAAAGCGAGCACACCGACTGGTTTGATAGTCTTATAATTCTGGGCGACATATGAGAATGGTATGGCTAGGAGTACAGTGAAGAATCCCAACCCATCTTGAGGAAAACAAAAAAGGTTGCATGAGCTGGCGCAATAAAACTAACTGCCGGAGAAAACCATACATGGATTGTAAACATTGTCACTATCCGTCCATATAGTGAGACTGAAAAGTGCCCAAAGCAGACCGAAAATGTTTCCTAATCCGAATCGCATTGGCCAAAGTCAGTTTCAGGTTCCGCACGAAAAGCTATCCGATTGTTGTATAATCCACCTGTGAGATTGACCACGACTGTTGCATACGTCTGACCAACATTGGGAGAAATTGCTACCAGCACACCAACAGTGCCTGACATTGGCAAATTCCATGTTTCAAAGAAAGGGCTTTGAGAGAACAATACTATGCATAAAAGCGATATTGCTACCGCCACTTTGAGTCCAAAGACAGACTCTGAGCTCTTCAGCTGCTTGAGAAATTCTACTGTTTTTGTTTGAAAGTACTTTGATAGAGCTGATTTATGTCGTTTGCTCCGGGATGCTGCTGGCTGTTGTGGCTCATCGCCAAATGATGTGATGACACTGTCGTTATCAGAGTGGCGGAGTCTCGCAAAAGGAGAGAAGAAACTGCAAGTTCTCTAAGGGGACGGAAAGGCAGTGTGAGATTTTCTGATGAGAGCACATACACATCTAAACACTGGGACTGCAACCGTACAAAACGAAACTTCTTCTTCCTTTCTTGAAAAAAAATCAGTTTACTCAACCTAGTTGTTTCAGTAACTACCGCCTCAAGAGAAAAAATAAAAAAATTGACTTCTAGCAATACACTTTCTGATGGCAGGAAATTATCGGTATTGCTGTTCGTGGGCTCAAACAGACCATACATGATTCGGTATTGTATGTCTTCAAATCGTCGATAACCAGCATCAAGGTCGTCTAGCGGAATCTGATGATGGTCTCCATGCTCAAGGAGCGAGACAGACTGCGCAGATCGTTTGGATATTCGTCGCTGAAGAGACGTAGTTGGTCCAAAACCCATGAGTCTGTCGCGTGTACCAATCAATGATTTTTGGATGCTTCCAGAGAGGGTATTCAGAGCGTCTTTGAGTGGCAGAGCAAATGTTTGCTCGTACCCTGGTGAGGTGATCAAGGAGTGGAGTTTCAAAGATGCATCAATTGCCGATAGATGCTGGCCTATCGTTCTCAGATGATCTTTGATCTGAGAGTACTCTTCAATACCGAGTTGCGAATAGGAGGATTCTGCAGATGCTTCAGCCTGATGATGGTTGATGGTGTCCTTTAGATTGGACTCTCAATGTATTGGCATATATAAGGTCAACTTACGATCTTGTCAGAAATCGTGTCTAGGGTTTCTCGTATTCGTTTCACTTCACGTTCGCGAGTCGAGTTCTCATCAAGTGTAGTCGTCAGCAGATACCTATTCAAGAAATGGGAGAATTTTATAGCCTTTGTAAAGTTGAAAATCGTTGAGAATCTTACGTTCTTGTAGTCAGATCCACTAGTATGGCAGCACCAGTAAGATTCGCTCCGATGAGTTCCTTCAGACTGACCTCTGCGAATTCAGGCAGGATGAAGAGATTGACAATCCAATTGATAGCAACACCAGATGCGAAAGCACACATCGTATGTAGTAACTGTGTCTGATTGTCAGCATTAAACTGGCCTGCTGTTGTTGTAAAACTATAATAGACTCCTTGGAAGGACATGATGGACGCAATGAGCGTTGCTGGATAATACTTTGCATCCGCCGCCCGAATATAATTCAGACAATAAATCGTGACGAATACGAAGGCTCCATAACCATAAGTTGATCCATTCATTAACCCAATCAAAGTCCAGGAGACAGCTCCAACTAATATGCCCAGGGTTGCTCGAAGAGCACCATTTCGGTATGCACCGACCGTTGTTGCTTTAAAAATTGATGGACAACGTCAGTTCAAAGTCAGAATGCCAAGAGTAAACGAAAAAGTGTCATACTAACCCGAAGTGTTGATTACGATGGCAATCAGAGTATTGGAACACACTGTTGGCCTCAAGATATCCTTGCTTCCACTTATAAAGATCAAGATACATCCACTAAAGAAATGTCATACATGTGTCAATGATAGGTCAGCTTTGACTCATAGCCCAACAAATTCAAGGCATCAAAAAAGGATGATTCCGATCAAAACTAAAATCATCTCCACTTCAGAAGATGATCGAGCTTGATCAAAAGCCCAACAGATCAAGGCTGTGAAAACAAACAAAATCACTCACAGTAGCAAACTGATTGTTCCTGAAAAAACCATAGATGTCAGCTGGATCATTCACGAACAGCTAATGGATACGAAATGTCATACCTTTTAATACATTTTGAACAGTTCGAGACCGAAGCAGTGCCGCGATGGTCGAAAGAAGAGCTCTAACCCGCATTACCTTCATCTTGGAGTTAGCAGGTTCAGTGATGCGGCTGCAGGCCGTGTCTTACCTCTTTTGTTAGACGAATAATCTATTCGCATTCGTCCCGGAGCGTGATCTATTCTCCTCACTTGCTTTACTTGCTCATCGCTGATTTTACCGTTTTCAGGAAACTAAGAGCGGTTTTGAAAAAGGACATGGGACGCCAACAGTTCACAGCGAGACCACGTTCTTGCATGTAATTTGATGTCAGATCTCTTGATCCCTTCTGTCATCGCTGCAGGAGCTCTTGCTGACAGTGCTGTTTGTAGTCACAAAAGTGAGATTAGTTCACGTACAAGACGCGTTCCTCCGCAGACTTAGGCAGCGTGCAGAGTAGGCGACTAGGCGACACGAGAAGCTGGAGGCTGGAGGCCCATGTTACTGCAACACAGCTGTGTTGTCTATGTGCCTGACACGTCTGTTTTCGCCGGGCCTCGGAGTCTTACAGCTATTCGCGCAACTTTCTCCAGCACAGGTTTCAGTCAGAAGGGATCAAAGACACATAGAGGCGACATTTCCAGCTCGTAATAACACGCTGCTCTACTATTTCACTCAGCTGCCGGCCCTACGAGGTGATAATTCAGGTAATGTGCTCCAAATGCTCCTCGTTACAGCCCGTTGCAGCTGATTCATATCGTTCCTTGTTATACGTTCATTTCGTTGACTCCTTGCTTCAAATATAGGTAAACCATCCAGCACGGATCGTAAAGGACTCTGTCAGGACGAAATCGCAATTCACTTGCACATTGGGTCATTTAACAATTGGCAAAACCATCATTTCAAAGTAGAACAAGTCGAATAGCAATGCACACCTCGGAATCGTTTGAAGAATATAAAGCCAAGCTGGCACTCTGGGATGATCTTTCAACTACAGTGGCAAAGGAGGTCAGTGCCTACATTCGAGAAACCACAAAGCTCAAGAAGGAGTCTACAACGCTGCTAGGCAAGACGGGGTTCAATTTATCCGTATCTATACTGCTCTCACAAACATTTACTCTTAGATTTCGGTTGCGGAAGTGGTAAGTTGTTGATACTATTGAGTCGAATGCAACCAGTTCCTAACTGTGGACTTAACCAACCAGGTAACGGGACACTAGCTCTGCTTTCTGATATCAATAGCTCTTTGGGAGTCGACGCCGATGCTAACGCCGTACGACTCTTCAATGAGATCATGTCGGCCAAAGGACTTGACTCTGCCAAATTTCGTGCATCCGGTTAGATTCCACTCTTTTCAATATTTGTTATAGATAAAAGACTCGATTGAAACGTTCTCATCCTGGTTTTCGTACTGCTAGGAGTGGACGTTACAACATCGGAAGGGTACAAACAATTGTCGTCTTATGGACCGATCTTTGATCTCATCCAGACTACTATGGTCGTACATCACATTGATGTAATGGGCAGAAGCGAAATATGTTTTACCGTATATCAGGTTTCACACTCAAAACCTCCTCTCCTAAAACTAGGATTTACCAAACGTCTTCAGTCGACTAGCATCAGTATTGAGTCCTGATGGTGTCTTTGTCGTCGCAGACTTTCAAAACGAGTCCTTTAAAGGACCCGATGCACCGAAAACTCACAGTCTCCCTCATCCCGAGGGATTTACGGAGCAAGACATCCGTACTCTTGCCGAAGCTGCTGGTTTAGAAGTGTTTATGTTTCAACCAAAGTAGGTTGCCGTCTGTAGCTCGTCTCCGGGAGAAAACAAGCTGTTGGAAATAAAGTGTTCTGATGGCCCTCATCTTTCTTTATAGGGCTTGCATTGCCAAGATCCCCAAAAGTCTGGCGAGTGGTGAAAACCATGGTCATGGACACGGCCACGACGAGCACCAAGCTAAAGAGCATCATCACGGCCATGGCAATGGACATCATCACGGTCATCAACATGGTGACCAAGCTGAAAACGCTGGTCGTCCTAGTATGAGAGACAATGGAGGAGACTTTTTCGAGATCGACATGTTCGTGGCCTTTATGCAAAAGAAGAAGGTCTAAACATGCACGATTTGACACAGGCTAGTTCGTGTCGAACACAATGGGCCTGTAGCGATGCGGAATCAAAAGGAATGATCAACCGCCTGCATCTATAAAGTTCTAAATACAAATGTATTAACCCAAAAAGCATGTACTGCCGCAAATTTTCTATTGTAGCTGCTTCTAATACGGAAGCGCCGTAAACTGTGGACACGTGTTTTGGCAGATATTTCAAAAAGCTCACCGTGACTGTACTGGCGCCCAGCTTCACGGTACTAGTAGATCTAGATCTAAATACAATAGAGCCAGCAAAGTTTACTTTGGCTGCAGTGTGGCATCGAAGTGTAATTGAAAGAGTTTCCGCTATTTTGGAGTGTTATCTCCTCCAAAGACGTGTTCTTGACGAGAGATAAAGCGACCTGGAGAAATCTCAATCGCATAATCGGTAATCTCCTTTTACGTCCTACTACTAGTTGTCTTGTTGCCAACGCGAGAGCACACCTCTAGCTTGTTGCAACCAACCAATAGAAAAGAGCTCGCCTTTTGTGGCACATTAGTGTCGAGGACCGAAGTATACTTCTTACGAGGCAGGATTCATTGTCAGTTTACTCTTTCAGGGATGATCTCTTGTAATCGCTTCATCTTCAAATTAGGAATATTCTGATTCTTGCTAATTCACATTCAAACATTGAACATTAGTGCCGGGGGCGTATCAAAAAAACCAGACAAACACGAAACGAGGAGCGATGAGAGATTTTTGTGTATTTGGGTTTGAATATGATGAAAAAAAAGTGCACAATCCCAAAAAACTACCCATGTTGCCATCGTCAACGACATTTTTCCTCGCCCTCTCACCACTACTTTTTCAGACCAGCCATTCCTTTGGCTCTCAGATTCTTATAATCACCATTCGTAGCCAACCCATACGAAAACACCGTAACTAGCAAGTTCCAGTCGAGAGCCTTGAGCAAGAGCTTCAAGGATATTGAAAAGTAGCCCTACAGCAAAGCAGAAAGCAAGTAACGTGTGAGGGAGGGATAAATGTTGAGAATCTCGACAATTGTTCCCGGATATTTGTGGGGGTTTTTTTGGTCTCCTAGTCACAGCAATTCCTTATTCTGCCCCTGCTTTTTGCCTCCTATGCCATTCCATGTTTCTACGCCATTCCACCATTCATCTTCATTTACCTGATCATATATAATAACACGTCCAGCAGATGCGAATATGGCATCGCAAATAACTTCAGGACCGTAAGAATGCCTTTTGAAAAACAAGACGGCGGCTACTCCTTTAGCGTTCTCGAAAAAGTTTGTATTGACTGGTGATGGGTGCATTACGACCACTAGGCATGTTAAAAAGATATGTCAGAAAATCGTTCAAGAGCGCAAAAAAAAATATTAAACAATTTGAAGTATCAATCCTTGAAAGTCAAACCCAAACAACAACCCCTACCATCAATACCATCCTCCCTCAATTCAGCAGCAAGGTTGGCTCCCAGGTTTGTGATGAACGATTTTGTAGGTGCGTACCTATTATGATAAAATAGTGTGAGCGAGAAAAGAGGACTATTGAAAGAATCCTCGGAGCTCTTCCAGCGCCTTACATCGTCTGCGTTGGTGACGGCATGAAACTCGCAGAAGATGAAGTAAATTCAACCAAGCCCTTCTGTTTGCGTTCAATCATGAGACGAGTAAAGTGATGGGTTATATAAACTGATGATGTAGCATTCGTGTGATAGTTTTTCATGACCGTGTCGAGAGGAAGTAGAGCGAATAATCCAGGCATGATGTAGCCTAAACAAATCACAAGAGGGGGAAGAAAAAAAAGTTCAAAAAGCTACTAGGCGAGTTATTGAATACCAAACATAGATGCAACATCCCAAGCGCGTAACGGCATACACCCACACAAAAGCCACACACACGCACCTGCATTATTAAAGACCAGCTGCACCTCGATATCTTTAGTCGCATCTTTAATCTTCTCCATATACGTATCCGAGTTCTCAGCACTCAAATCAGCACCGACAGATCGGAACTCGACATTTGGGTACGTCTGCTTGACCTGATGAATCAATTCAGGTAGGAGATTGTTGTCTAGAGCAACGACGACGACATTGATTCCCTGTGAAGCCAGCTTCTTGACGATACATGCCCCGATTCCCGAAGAACCACCTAAGTCGTGACGGTAATTGTTTAGTGGATTTGTGGAGCATTTCCCGAGAAAGTTAAAGTTTCTGCTGTCGTGTCCAACAAAAAGCCAATTCCGACGCTCCAAATGTCAGACGTTGGTTGATACCTGTGACAAGAGCCCATTTAGCGCCATAACGTTTCTTCAAATCCTGGTCCGATAACAGGTAGTTTTGGGCTAGAATGGGTATCAAATATGACCATATCGCGACGTATCTAAAGTGAAGGCCGTCAAGCTCAAGTCTGCGATGTTTTGTTAAATTTTCAAGCTTTTGAGGCCAAACGTTACCCGATGAATGCGTAAGGAAGCATGATTATAGGATACCGGACGCATAGATCCCACCACCAAAACATCATGGAGTAGTAGCTCATAACTGCAAAGTGCTTGACGTATAGTAACTCTGTGTGTTTTTTGGTGCAAGTAAACGGTGAAGAGTCAACCAACTTGTTTGAAATAATCCTATACATCGTATTTTATCACTAATAAACGCGTATACAAACCACGAAACGGTGATCCACTGAGTTCTTTCAATTTCTTTGCCCTGATCTATTGCAATATAAAATACATCACCCCTTCCAAACCTCTCCTTACGCAACAGTCAAATCATCTGCAAAGTACAAGTGAATGGCAGGCAACCAATGCTCATCATCCATATCCAGTTTCTGAAATCTAGCAGACTCATCCGCAATGCCGTTCCCCTCTAACGTCAATGACATATCCAGGATAGCACCAAGTCTCTTCCATTTGTATCCACGCGCATGTGCGTTTAGTGCTTCATACCGGTCTTGGATTGCGTTGAGCGATTCTTCGCCGCAGACCTAATGAATTATGTGGGTGTTGGTATAAAGACAAACAAGATCATTCACCCGCACTAATGGATGTACAACAACATATACCTCAAGGACATCCTCATCTCCAGTCAGCGTGTTTACAATACGTATCTTGCGGGTTTTCGAACTTAGTCTCCCCACACAGTACTGCTCGTCGTTCATCCACCATGGCATTTCAGCTTCTTCGATATTCCAGTTTGAGGATGGGAAGGTTGGTGGGATGTGCGGGACGAGGCCCTCTGGTGTGAATGGAACGGGGACGTTGGATAAGGGGTGGATTTGGGTTTTGAACTAGTGAGGGATGGAGAGTGTTGATACTATTGATGGATGCATATGTGGACAGATTGTCTCCGTTTTTTGTGCTTGCTTGGATAACCAACTACAGTAACAACGAAAGAGCGTACCTCGCCAGTCCGTGGATTAAACCAATGAGAGATGTCACGACCAGCGTTACGGAGTAATGGCAGCACTCTTGGATCAGCTATAACAAATACAAATACGTATAAGGAACCGTTGATTTCAAATTGGCTATTAACATTCATCACTGCATCTATCCCCACTTTTTTGCGCTTCCGAAACAAAGGACGCAAATTACCTTTATACTCTTGATACAAGCTCGTCAAATCATAAACACGTCCCAGAAACGAAATCCACAAATCGTGGCCACTGTTGTGTACTGATACTTCACTTGGTGTGAAATAGTGCGGCTCGCCCGATGATCCAATAGAGCCCGCTGTTGTTGGTCGTGTCGTGTAGGCTGAAGTGCTGTAGGATTGTAGCTGGGTTTTACGTGTTTGGAGAGTCTCGTATGAGGTCTGTTCGGTGAATGCGACGGGCATGGTTGCTGCGATGATGTTTTATCTGTCAATTATTGACTTGTTTTTTTTTGGTCGCGTCGAACATGACCCCCTATCATTTTTCCGTCGAATCAAGGACTTACAAACTTGATACAGAACTTGATAAGCATACTACGACGCTGTATAGACAATGAATTACGATGTTATATATTTTTGTTTAATAAAACTCGTCAACAGAAAAATATAACCAGTCCTTCAATAAGATGGCGAGTTGACCCAACTATCGACTAAGTACACACTCCTCCACCTCATGGCTCCACAACAACAGACCACTCATGAGGTATCTCCCCGTACTGGATTCCCATTATAGTATCAGCAACTCGTTTTGCCAATGGCCCAATACCAGCACTACTATCTTTAGGATCCAGAGGAATCTTCAAATCCTTTCCCAAATACGAAATATTTTTTATAGGTGATACGATAGCGGCTGTTCCGGCTCCAAAGCATTCTAATACTCGACCTTCTTTTAGTGCACCTGCTAGCTCAGGCATGGTGATGGGACGTTCAGAGACTTTGAATTCGCCCCATGTGCGAGCGAGAGATAGAATACTGTCTCGGGTTACACCTGGGAGGATGGTGCCGTCTAGTGGTGGTGTTACTAGTTCGGGTTGTCCATCCTTGCCTTTAAGGAAGGCGAAGAAGTTCATGGTTCCGACTATTTGAAAGGAACAAATGATGTTTGTAATTGACTCGTGATTTAGTTTTTCTCCCTAAGCAACAGACTTGGATGCAAAACAAGCAAAGCCAAGACCGAAGCGCAAAACTGTCGTTAACCCTCATCAACCCACAAGCACTCACCTTCAGTAATATTATGTTCAGGACCAAACAACCACAAGTTTTGTTGATGACCCATAGCAGCAACAGCCAACTGAGGTCTGATACCAGGAGCATAGTTGGCACCTAATTTAGAAGCACCAGTTCCACCTGGCCAAGCTCGTACATATTCTGTTGTGGCATACAATGATACAGGAGCGAAACCAGTTCGATAGTATGGGCCCACAGGAGAACTGATTACAAATAGCAGGGCGTTGCTTGATGCTCCGACACCTAATTGTGAATAAAAATAGTATTTTGTTTTAGTTTATGACTGTTCGTGATGTGTGGTAGTCGTTTTAGTTGAAAGGAGAGCCCGAATGGACGTCACTCAAAGAGAGGTAAAAGACAAAAAAGCCAGCAAGGCTGAAATGCCAGATTGACTCTTTGATAACCAGTCCAAATCGTTCAATCAGACAACAAACTTGAATGCAACCAACGCTACATACCCAGAGACGGCTGTGTGGCAATAGCAGTAGGCCGTATATACAGCGAGTACCCTCTCTCGCCCGGAATCCATTTCTGATCGACAATGACGAGCTTCTTGATACACTCCAAGACCTCCTTTTTATCAAACGTGGGCAGACACAGCCTATCACAGCTCAACCACAAGCGATCCATATTTTTATCAGGTCTAAACAAGCGAATCTTGCCTTTAGAATCCTTGTATGCCTTCATCCCTTCAAAGCACTCGACGCCGTAGTGGAAGACGGTACATGATGGGTCTAGCGATAGTGGCCCGTATGGCTGGATTTTGGGCTGATGCCAGCCGGAAGATACGTCCCAGTCGATGGTGAGCATGTGGTCTGCAAATGTACGTCCAAATACGAGGGTTTCGTTTGCAGGGACTGGATGTGGTTGTTGGGAAAGTTGGATGCGTAGGTTTGAGGATTTTATTGGGGCTTGCGATGATGGGGCTGTTGCTAGTGTCCGTGAATGGGCTGGTTGGTGGTGGTGCCATTGGTTGATGTTTTTTGTCAATGATGTTGATGCTATGAAGGGAGAGGCTCCTATTACTGATGCTCCTCGTTTGGATGCGCCACTCAATACACGGCGTGCCAGCATTATTATTAATATAGTAGCTGGTTGAACAATATGATGGTCTGTGTTTGCTGTAGAGCCAATGTGGTCACACTGTCACTAGAAATATCGAGTCATGAAAAACCACGAAACACGAACCGCACGCGTACCTTTCTCTTGCAAAAACAAGCATTGTCCACGACCGAAAATAAAGAAAAGCTACAAACTAGACAGGAACTAGACTACTACAAAGTGTTTGAGGTCGGGAAGACGAGTTGATCACTCTGGATGACATGGCATCCAATCTCTTGCAGGGTAATCTTGGCCCTCACTGCATCATCTGCATTGACGCCTGCAATCATATCATCCAATACATACACTTCATATCCATTGGTCTTTGCATCTGTTGCTGTTGCTTTGACACAGTCTATTGAAGAAGAGAGTGTTGGCCCAAGCACAAAGCAAAACACACTAGCTAGACGTACATTCAGTAGCAATTCCAGTGACAAAGACTTTTTGAATGCTTTTGCTCTTCAGTTTTGTGTCTAGGTCTGTCTTGTCGAATCCAGAGTATGCATCACCCTCCACAGCAACACCTAATTTGTTTGGGTGTCAGCAAGAGTAGAATAAATGCTCTAACGTGTCAATTGGTACCTTTTCGAACTTCGCCGTCTATGGCATCGACAGGGAATCCATCCTACATAACAGAAAAAGGTTCAGTTGGAAGTTGTCAGAAGGCAGGTAGTCAGAACTCTCACATACAGCATATTGAGACCCCCAGGATTCTTGTACACAATGTACAGGCCATGGCCCACCAAATATAGCAAAGGACGAATGGTTTGCAGGATGCCAATCTCTTGTAGCAAATACCGGCAATCCGTTACTCTTGAAGGCGCGTATTTCCTTGAACAATGGTTGAATGATACGGTTGCCATATGGAGCGCCGAGTGAGCCGCCGTTTGGTAGGAAATCGTTCTGCGGAAAGCAAAAGTGGTGTCAGCCAACTCCGATAATAGCAGATGGTATTTATGGAGTACAGAGATTCCGGGCCATAGGGAAAGATAAAAGATTGTCGAGAGAGATAATAAAACGCAGTAGAAATCAATATAGTTTGTAGCAAGTTCCTTTCCGAGTAGCTCCCGTGTGCAAGTATTCAAATCCCAACTGCTAAATCCAGCTGGAATAGCTCACTGCAGCATACCTGGAGATCAACTACGATCAGGGCACAGTTTGAATCCAGCTTGATGGCCGGCTTGTCTGCAGGAGGCAACAAGGGCAATGGTTTGTTTTCGGCGACCATTTGTGATTGTTCTCGAAGATATTAAGTTTGCGAGGTTTTTAAAAGTGGAATATGAGGACAAGGAGCTGGTCAAATAGAGGTCAAACTATATAGAACGCAGAGAAGACTTGCTGTTGATTCGTAGTATGAGTGTGTTTAAAGGCGAAACGGAAGGGCCTGTGTGCAAGAAAGTTAAGGACTGCTCCAGTTACCGACATTTACCGAACAGGAGAACGACAAGGAACTAATCATCAGGTCAATGTTTCAACGAAATGCGTCTTGTCACTCTTTTCATCTCTTATGAATGTCTTCCTGTAGTGAAGCAGCAAAAATCGTCGCGCCAATTGAATCACAAAATAACTCATATTGCTACATCCTCAGTCAAATCCAGCCATACCCTTTACAAACTTGTTCAAACTGATTCTAAACAATTCATTCGTGATGGGCGTATCGAATTTCACCAATGGGTTCTTGGCTACATACTCTACATAGATTTGAGCATAGATTTGCCGTAATGCTTCTCGACATGATTCCATATTGGAGTCTGTATTCATCACAAACTTTAGTCCCGTCGGTGTTTCAAAGTAGTGTAGTTTATATGCTGATGTCTTGTACGCTATGAATCCTTCCCTACAGTTGTGATTGTGTTGTTATTGAGTGTTTTTCGTGCACCTGCAATTGTTTGATCGTGTTGACCGGATACTGTTTGATAATAAACAATCATATACTCTCACAGAAACTTACGATGACTTGCCAGTAAGCTTTGACACCATATTCCTCAACGACAATATAACACCATACACCAATTTCGATTCTTCCTCAAACGAGATATCACCTCCGCTAGCACTAGCACCTCCTATTCCCACAGCACCCGCCAGTGCACTGTTTGGTCTGTGATCGGATGAGTCTTCGGATATACCAGGTTCAGGCGTTGTTTGGAGCAGATTGGTACGTGATGTTGATGCTGCTGTGTTTGATGTGGGCTTGCGATTCCAGGTGGAGAAGAAGACACAGTTACAGTGTCGATCGAATATGTACAGGTTGTATCTAGGTAGAGAAATAAGGAGGAGTGTTGGCTTTCATCACAATGTTTGGATTCAGACCTTTGGTTTGAAGATAGATGTATACGTGAACTTACACGACCATGATAGTAAACGAGCAGCTAAAATTTGTAAAATGATAAGCGTATTGGGCGTATTCTACTGCATTAGCCTCTAACTCAGACTTCAAGCTCGCAGTCTCTAAAATCCCAAATTATGGATTGAAACAAGCAAGGAGAGTGAAGGAACGAAAGGAGAACAAAGATGATTGGCGGCGGAAAGACGTTGACCTCGTTTGGAGGCCAAATCCTTGAAGTAAGTCTCGCATCTGGACATGCAATGATCGAATCGCAGTAATTTGATCGCGACTGATTCTTGCCCAGACATGTTCGTTTAGTCTTTCAAATCATGCTTTTCAATACACTTGAATCTAATTATCATCATACGTTTAGTATCCCAACATCTTCATCGACAATTTCAGGCCATTACGATTGAAAAAATTTCGAAACATTAAACCAACGTGTTTCTTGTCTCATGCTCATAAAGGTATGAATTCGTTCATCATTTTCGTCTAATTTATGATCATCACAGCATGATCTGTTGTGCATCGGCCTCGAACAATCTATGCTCCAAACCTAGTGACTGACGCTTCTTCACATTCCAGACCATATACACGGACTCAGCGAGGACACATGGCGTCATACCATCTATTGCTCTTCTGTTACAATGCAGCTGATGATTCGTTTGGGATATCATCATTTGAAAGACTACTTGAAGCCGTTAGAGATTGAGATACGACACCCGAGTAAGCAATCTTGTTCTCATATGCCTCTGGCATCTCATTTTCTTTGTCTCTAATCGTAATTCGTTATAACTGAAATCTCATGATAGTTAAACTGGCAAGTCATGAAACAGTCTATGTAACTCTTCTACCAGCAAATCATTGTCTTGGCAGTGTCCAATTCCTAATCGAAGGACCATTTGGCAATATTCTGTACACCGGAGATGCACGATATGAACCATGGTTTCTAGATGTCATGAAGAAATCTAAAATCATTACTCAATCACTCAAGGAGAAGCCGATTACGACCGTGTATTTGGATACGACATTTGCTGATGTTTCCAAGACAAGTGAGTATGATTTGCATAAATTTTTGTGTTTTTTGCATGTTGAGTCTGTATTCAACCAACAAAAAAAGTAAGTGTCCTCACGCATTCCTTGTAGAATTTCCAAGTAAAAAGGAATCAGTCAAGACAATCATAGACATTATAAAATCAACTCCAAAAGACGCTCGAATCTTTTTGGAATTCACAATGTTGGGAGTTGAAGAGGTCTTGTTGGGTGTTGCTAAACATTTCAATACCAAGATCTACGTCAAGCCTTATCGGTATAGAAAGTTTGAATCTCTCAGAAATTGTGATCAGAATTCAGCTAATCTTGAAACTGTGAGTATGACAGATGCTGAGGTGCAAAACCGTTCGTGGTATAGAGGGTTTACCGTCCTTTTTTGGGCTGAAGAGAACTTGGGAGCACTGAACGGCATTTTCTCGTAAACCAACCATCGTTTTCTTTGTACATAGTTGGACATTGCGTCGTATTTAACCACGGATCCGCATTCGACCAGGTTTCACAACTGTGGCGGTATCAGGAAACGTTGTCGTGATTGTCGAGCTATAGCTGCCACCACACAAGTTCTGATGATTAGACCGTCTACGCAAAGATGGGTGCGTTCTTGGGCAGGAAAGGATAAGAGCTGGCAAGGTCTTGATTATGCTGTTGCTTCTGACACAATTGCAGTAAGTTGGAAATCCGAGCGCGTTTTCAAAACATGGTTTTAACAAACTACTTTCAAATGAACAAACTAGAGAGTTTTGTTTTCAATGCATTCGTCTCTGGATGAATTGAAGTCGTTCATTGAATGGATTAGACCAGAACGTATACATCCAACCGTTGTCGAAGAGATTCCAAACAGAGCGGAAATCCTTCGACATTTTAAACCATATTTACTAAATCCGAAAGACGATTCTAAACGAGACGATATTCCTGGTAGTAGTTTGGAGACGATTGTTGATGAAGGTCGTGGTGAGGTTCTAACCTCAGATGATGGGGATGAGAATGTTGTTTATTTAGAAAGCAAGGATTTGCAACCTCCAGCTATAGCACTTCGACATTCGAGTCTACAAGAAACTAATGTTGGCAATGTCGAGTCACGTAGATTGTCAATATCGTCGATCGTTAGTGAGGAAAGTGAGATTAATTGGAGCACTGATGAGGAGGAGGAGGGTGAAGTGGTAGCTGCTGCTGATCATGCTAGAGATGGAAATGGTGGTAACCGCGTAGACATTGATCCTAATTCAAGGTCACTATCACCTGCTGTATCGGATAGCGATGATGATGAAGATCAAGATGAAGACGCGTTTCGTCGTCCTACACGTAAACGGCCTATAACTCCACCACCACGGAAAATAGTACAGCCTACCGTCTTGAAATCACCTACACGACTTGTAAAATCTGCTAGTACACCTGTTATAAGTCCTCGAGTATCGCACACAGGCCGTAATCAGATCTTGTTTATGTCATCTGTAAGGAAGCCGAATATAGAACCAATGCCATTGAATAGCAGTATTGTAATCAAGGACACCGCACAAACCGAATTAGCTTCACCAGCAGCACCACCTGCAAGTGTGAAAAAACCACAGCTATTGTCACCATCACGTTTGAATCGATCACAAACTACACCGGTAATAACATCAACAGCACCAAGTATCAACAAGAAATCATCCACATCGGCAGCCAAACGTAAACCAGGGTTGAGTGATTTCATAATGAAGGATATTGCAAAGAAACGAAACAAGGCAACTATCAGCAACGACAACAAGAATGTGAATAGCAAGACGGAGGAAAAAGCGTTAATTGCGATTGATGACGATGACGCCGATGATGTTGTGATTACGTCGTCTTGGTCTAGAGTCTCTGTTGGTTCGACAAAGGGAGGGATTGTAGATAAGGAGGTTATAGAAATAGATTGAAGGTATAGATATAGAGCAACTGAAGGGTGTGGGGTCAGAGTCGTTGTCTCGATTGTTGGACTGTAGCTTCAAGTTGTGCTAGCCATGGATCCTCCGTTTTTTTCTCTCTCTCTCGTTTTACTGCTTCGTTGACACGTTTTGATTACCTATAGTGAAAGTTTCAAGTCCTGAAATGATCTACGGGACTCTATTATCAGTAGAAGATTGTCTTGGTGGTTGTTCAATTACCAATCGAAAGACCATCCAGCAAACAGGAGATGATGAATAATGCTTCCTTCAAAGAGAAATCTATTACGACTGTGTATTGTAAAATGACAGATGCTGGTGTTTCAGAAACAAGTAAGCATTACGGCCACCAATGGGTCTTTGTTTTTGCAGTTTTGAGTTCTGTATTAAAAACAAGAAAGCCTACTGTGCATAGTCATTCCTTTTGGAGGTCTCGAGTAAAGAGGAGTCAGTCGAAACAAGCATTCGGTTCATCGGAGCAACACCAAAACGGTTCCATTTCGGTGTCATTCTTAACTACGGATCCGTATTCAACGAGGATTTTTGTTCAACTGGGGCGGTGGCAGGAAACGGTGCTAAATTCGTTGGGATATTGCTGCCACCATACAGGTGATTGGGCCGTCTATGCAAAGATGTGCTTGATCTTCGGAAGGGACAAATGAAAGTTGAGGACGTCTTGATTATGCTGTTGCCTCTCACTTGTGATTGCGCATCGAACGCATCGAAATGGAGACGCGTTTCATCAACCCAGACACACCTCCATCGCCACCGAAGAGAGTAAAACGTATTCTCCCCCCATCATATACACGATTTGAAAACAGCTATCGACATCCTTCAAATTGTGGTCAAAATTATCACGATCTGGAGATATTATGGGGCGAGCAAGGTCAGAAGCTTGCGGTGTAGTTGCTTTCGGGTGTTGGACTGCGACTTTCCACGAACGTTTCCTCTCTTCCATGTTTTCGGTATGTGTCAAGACTTAAGTTTAGTTCTCGATAGTGAAACTCGCACGTCATGACAGGAACTACGTGACTCGCGTACTGGCAAACCTTGTCGTGGCAGTATTCGCTTTCTCATCGAAGGACCATTCGTCAAGTTTCCTTATATCAGAGATGCACGAAACTTCCCATAGTTTCTGGGTGCCATGATACAAATTAACATCTCTCAAAGGGAATGCACCGTCTATTTGGATCCAATAGGTGCTGATATCTCCCAAGACAAGTACGTATTACTCCACTTTTTCTGGTTGTTTTTTTAGTCTCAAGTCTGTAAGCAAAAAACATGTCGCCCCAGCTCATGCATTCTTTGTAAGGTTTTCCAAGTCAACACGAATCAGTCGATAAAAGCATCTGGATTTAGGAAGCAACTCCAACGGATGCTTGAAACCCTTGCAACTGTTGGGAGTCGAAGAATGTCCTTGGGGTGTTGCTCGACACTTTGAAACCAAGCCCTATGTCTAGCCCTGTCGCTACAAAGTGAAGCTCTTGAAACGTGTGATTGGCGTCAGCTAATCTTAAGTTTTGAGTATGCCGCATGCAAGTAAGGTCGAGTAAAATATTCTGGAGCTGGAACAGCAACGTTTGTGAAGATTGAGAGATTGTTCTCGTCCAGCAGGTGATTCCGTTTCGTTTTGGCCTCTCTTTGATTAAGTGCACACGATTGCCCTTTTCTCAATAAAGTCTTTTTTCAACTCAATACAGCCCCATCACACCTTTTCGTTGACATAATCAGGTTTTATTCGTGAATGAGTTTATGGCAACAAACGCCCACGCTGCGACGTGCGGCATACCGTTGTAGCATCCCACCTAGCATGTAAATATCAAGCGGCATATGATCCACCTCTTAATAGCAGAGAGAGAGTGTGCAAATCAAGCTGGTCTGAGCTACATGGGTGTCAATATGTTCATCCTATCCCAAGGTATACATGGTTCATCCCGTCTTTTCTGATACTGACTGTTGGCTAGCGCCTGATAGTAGTCTACCACCTAACAATTGACTAGCTATAGCTACAGCGATACTGACTGGTATTGTTGTTCTCGGTATGTTGTAATGTCGTCTGATCGCGATGAGGATTGGCACAGATGCGTGGATAGCAAGCATCCATGGCCACGTATATCTTTCAGTGTATTTCTCACGAACAGCGCCCAATGGTATGTTTAACGCGATTGATGTCGAGTAAAGTGCTGTTGTTGGTTTTAGCATTTGCTATATAGCGATCGGTCTTGAGCTCCTAGCAAAAGTGAGCATTAGAACGGAGAAATCGATCTAGAATTGATGTAAGAATTGACTGTATGAACCTCTCACTGATATACAAAGCCGTTTGCAAAGCTCGAACGACTTTGCTGTCACCAGAATGAGCAATCTAGCTTAAGTGCTAACAATCAATCTATACAGCCATAATGAGGAGGGCTACGCAGCTTCTAATCAGCGCGTCCGTGCCTAAATACGTGCCTCGAACAAGCATCGCTGGTCATGCATTACGCTTGGCATCACGAAACAGACATGCATCAACAGGATCCAACATCAACACGCAACCACCACCGCCGCCAGCGTCTCAAAATGTTGGAATCAGTATTCTACAGATGACACTATCGCTAATATTAGGTGCTGCTGGTGGCTCACTGCTACTCTACCAAAACCGTGACACTATATTCGCTGGAATGAAGAGTAATGCTGATTTCTCCAAACCAAAGGTCTATGGTGGTAGAAGGGAGTTTGATGCGGCGCTGGAGAAGATTAAGAAGATTGTTCCTCATGATGGTATGTATGGTGTAAAAAATCCGTCCCTTGTTTCAAAATGACGTGACTTACCGCACAAACATCCATTTATATACTATTCCTGTAGACATTGACCTGGACGAGCACCAACTAAAAGACCACGGCGAATCAAAATGGTCCTACCACAATCTCGGATTACCAGATGTCGTCGTATCGCCAACAACAATCGACCAAGTCTCTCAGATTATTAAAATTGCGTCCGAGTACAGGATACCCGTCATTCCATACGGAGGCGGTACATCTCTAGAGGGCCATTACACTGCACCACAAGGCGGTATCTGTTTAGACATGGTGCATTTCGACAAGATCGAGTTACATGAAGAGGATATGGATGTTGTTGTTGGGCCTGGTGTTGGGTGGGAGTACTTGAATGAGGTGCTGAAACCAAGTGGGGTGTTTTTCCCCACTGATCCTGGTCCGGGTATGGCGATAGTCAAAATGATAACGATGTGAAGATTCAGAAACTGACACTCTGTCTCGAATAATCAGGTGCCAAGATTGGTGGAATGGTATGTTGTTGAAGAGTTCTATCTCCTTCTGTGAATTCGGCTGCCGTTTTTTTTCCACTCATGGAACGACACGCACGTTCTACACGCTCAAAACGCCTGTTAATCCGCGTTAGATTGCTGTTGGGTGCAGTGGAACGAATGCAGTGAGGTTAGTGCCCACATGAGACTTAGATCTTGTTAGGTCATAAAAAATTAACACGACCCTCACTTTTGAACAGATATGGAACAGTCAGGTATTTGCGACAGGCTCCACTGCGGTCATTGCTTGTAATATGGACACATTATTCTCAAACTGAATTAATCCTCTTTTACTCAGAGACTGGGTTTTGTCATTGACAGTTGTGATGCCTGATGGTTCAATAGTGGTTACTCGCCCACGAGTCAGGAAAACCAGCGCTGGTTATAACCTAAATCAGCTCATGATCGGAAGTGAAGGAACATTAGGAGTTATTGTGGTAACGTGCCTTTTTATGTAATTGATGAGTCTTTTTTGCACCTTCACACAACCTCGTCTATACTTAACAGGAAGCAACACTGAAACTCGCAGCTCTCCCTAAAGAAACCTCCATAGCAGTCTGTGACTTTCCAGATATTCGATCTGCTGCAAATGTAGTAGCAGATGTCGTTCGCTCAGGTCTCCAAATTGGCGCCATTGAAATCCTTGACGATGTTATGATGAAATGTATCAACCATGCAAACCCTCGTATCAGCCAACCGGAACGGCCGACGTTGTATTTCAAATTCAGTGGACAATCTAAAGTACAAGTTGACAATGATGTCAAATTTGTTAATGATATTGCTAAGAAATATAGTGGTGGTAAATTCAGGTTTGCTAAAAATGAGAAGGAGAAGGCTGATCTTTGGGAAGGCCGGAAGGTACGAGAAGCTCTTTATATGATGATCAGTCTTTTGCCACTGATCTTCAACAAAGAACCATCTGTACTCGATTAAGGATTGATGCGCTGAAACCGTCGTATTCAACCTCGATCTTAGAATGCCTTATGGTCTACAGTAGCTATGCAGCCAGAAAGATCGGTCTGGACTACCGACGTAGTTGTGCCAGTGTCCAAGCTCCCCACACTCATGGAGCAAACCCAAGCTGACTTGAAGTATCCAGCGAGCACAAAAATCTCCTTTTCGGGTCTTTGGGTTTCAAACTAATTGCACCGTCTTGCATAGAACATCCTTCTTATTGGCACCCATGGTGGGCCATGCTGGTATGTCGAGTCAAAACATATTATCTTTGTGGCTTTAACGGGTTTTTGCTCGTTTTTAGGCGATGGCAATTTCCATCTGATCAGTGAGTTCATTTACCTTTACTTGGAACCAAAGCTGTCATGTACACTCAGAGCTTATCAATCAAACGTATTTTTTTTAGTTATGTTCGACCCCAAAATTCCAAAAGAAGTTGAAGAAGCTACTCGAATCAACAACAATGTGGTTGGGCGAGCTCTGCAGCTTGGCGGATCGTGTACTGGAGAACATGGAGTTGGTACGCTTTAAACAGTCTACTTATAGCGTCATTCTAATCACTTACTAACATGAACTTTGTTGCTTGAATGTAGGCATTGGTGTGTAGCGATCATTGTGATATTAGGCGTTTTGAAGGGTGTTTTTTTCGTTTTAACATTCTTTTCTCTATCATCAAACCGTATAGGTAAAAAGAAGTACCTCACAAAAGAACTTGGAGCAGAGACACTCAAAGTCATGTGGCAGCTGAAAGAAACACTTGATCCGTATGGAATAATGAATCCTGGTAAAGTGCTGCCTGGGTTGAATGGTGATGCTGATCATCACCACCATTAATTGACAGGAAGTCATAATTTTGGCTTCCTCCCACTGGTACTCTGAAATCATATCATGCATTTGTATGATCCTCACAAAATACACTGCCCTATATTTGATACCAAACAAGGGAACATCTTACAAATGAAATAGGTTTTAAACTCCACCTTTTGGCATCAACGTGATACGGATGGGAACGTCACTCATTTGAGGCTTCGTAACAATAGCAAAATCGAAAATGTGTCTTTCAAACGAGTGAATGTTATCAGTACGAGTAGTTGCTGGCGGGGTTTCGATGCTCTACCCAGTCACCAACACTTATTCTTTCGAAGGAGAGAAACACTACTGATTCAAGGCAAAACAGAGGTTAATTTGGCGCTTGAACGAATTAGGAGGATTGCTCCTCACGAGGTTAGTGTAAAGCATCCTTCTCTGGTTGGATGTCTCTGGTTGGATGTTGAGATTACAGGAAGTATTTTTTCTGCATCGAGTGCTTTTCTCTGCCTCTCTGCCCCACTCAACACATCGTTATAGAGACCATCTGGAACGACCATGGTTAATCCAGATGGTCCTATCACAATCTCGGACAATTCGACGTCGTCGACTCTCCAACGCATCGACCAAGTCTCTCAAATTGTTCAAGCTGCTGTAGTTGCATATGGAGGTGGTATGTACCTGGAAGGGCATTGCACTGCGTGACAAGATGGTACCTGTATAGAGATGATACCTTTCGACAAACATGAATTGGAATGTTTGGCTGTCGACGGCAGCTATGTACCAGAAAAGCCGTGTCGAATACCGAGATAGCAATATTAGTATTGAGTAGACGCACGAGCAGACTCACGTTGACCTGAAGAAAGCATCTGATAAGCTGCAATTCGGCATCTTTTGCCATTGGGTTTGAAACTAAGATATCGTTTTCAAGAGATCGTCTGTCGTGTTGGCACCTGTTGTTCGCCATGCTGTCGGTACCCTTTATATAATTTGTGGGTCGAATTGCTACTTCTCTACTTTACACTTAGCCCATTCGAAACCCAGTCTCATGCTTGACGAATGAAACATGAATTATATTACGATTTTTAGCACCATGAAATTGCGGGACATACTACTTATTTACACAGACCGTTTCGTAAACAACAACCACAAAGTACCAAAAAAACTTCACTAGACTGGCCAGTACAACCTGTTACTCTACAAAGCTACTATCCGTGGGACTTGTTGGTGTCGGTGGAAGCTCGACTTTCTGTCGAATCCTTTGAAACTCGTGTTGCGGAATCAAGAATGTCATTGGCACAAATCCTTCACTAGATTTCTGCTTGTTGATTGCAAATCCCCAACTGTCTGGGTATACCTCACTACAAGACAAGAGAAGAAGCAAAAATTGGTATTGACGCTTTAGACGAGCAAAACAAAACCAAGCCATATCAACCGTCATAGATTTAACGTGAAACCTACTTGATAATTAACAGATCACCGACTTCCAACGCCAACTCATCAGGATGTCTAGGTTTATATTTAAAGAGCACAACCCATTCATTCCGTGACTCTGACGGCGTCACAACCTGCAGCGGTTGTACACCAGAAACCACACTCTTACTCTGTGACCTTTTAACATCACTTCTCGAATCAGATCGTTTGGGAGTCCTTGGCTTCGTAGCCCGCTGTAATGATCTACTACCAGTTGACGAACCCAAAGAGTCCAATTGAGTTCTTCGAATAGACCATCTGTCAGTTCTTGTTCTATGGTTTGTTAACGTGGTGGGTATGTTTTGCTGTAAGAGGTCCTGTTCTTGGGAGAGTGGTGATGGTGGTGTCGCTTGTAGTATTGGCTGGGTCGTTTGTCGGTACGAGTTTTGTGAGGACGTTTGCGACGTTCTGTCATCCTGAGTATTGTTACTGCTGTTTGTAGCATTTGTCCTGGTATCGATAATCAACTCGTTACGTAGCGTCGACGCCTGCCTCCTAGATCCGAATATACTAGATTTGGGTCTGAGTAACGATCCCCGGTGTGGGGACAGCATAGATAGAGATCTAATGAATTCCTTCTTTCTGGGAGCCGGGTTCTTTTCTTCGTCATTGTCTGCATCCATATCCTGTGAGAGGACTCTGTTTTCTATGCCTGTTATCCAGAGACAGCCGAGACCTATTATGCTAAAGACTGCTGATATTATTGCTGCGACGTGGTATGACGAATTGTCGTCGACAAATCGAGTTGTGTTATCCGGTTCAATGATTCGGTGTGGTGCGTTCGTGATTGTTGATAGAGAACCTCCCACAGTGCTATGACAAAAAAGAAGGTTGGATATAAGGTTGGATGTAAGGTTTTGCACTCAGACTCGAAGCAAACAACATGCCTGATGAAGATGCTAGGCAACAGCAACGAAGTCGTGTTTGAAAATATCCTCTTTGGCATTTCAAATAACCTATTATCATAGAAGAAACCGTATATGAGTCCATGTCTGTTCTTCTGATCAGACCAAGCACCAAATATCTTGTACCTCTGCGAATCCGCTACCACCCTCTGCGCAATATAGCACACAACCAAACAACTACATGATAAGAGTGCCAATGCACATTGTACCAGCAGTATCCAACATGGAGCCAGATTTTCGTTTTGGATTGTGACCATAATCCATAGATTGCAGCGGGACGTATCAGACAGGAATGAGGATGCATTGGCGATGAACGCTATAAAGCAGCATATCTATGTTCAAATCAATGTGGAACGTCAGTTCATGTATGCATAAGGTTGTTGGGCTAGAGTGGCAATGGTGCTCCGATAAAAGACAAAGCGGATAATAGATGCATACCAGTGCTGTAATCAAGAAGCATGCTAAGGAAAGCCTAAACCGTTGGTATCCCATTGATGCTTTGTTTGGCTCTCCCGGCACCACAAACGATAAATTGCGTAGTGTTGTGTTTGCGGGATTCGAAATTTTTAGTAGGTGGTTGAAGGCAAAAGAAAGTTGGATGTATTTAAGACTATGAAGGTTTGGATAGCTTGGAAGGTACCTAGAAGATTTCTATCAAGTTTACAAACAAGCTACGATGCTATCGGTGCCTTCCGATCGTTGCGTCTGGATGTATGTGGAGTCATGGCTTGTCGCTTTGTGTCTGGTGCAACTCACCGAAAACGACGAACAAGTGTATCGATCGCTGGCGTATCTACTCGAAAACCTTATTTGAGGCGATGATTCCAGGTGCTGAAGGTGTCTAGAAGCCGCGAAATCCCTGTCTGATCGTGTAAGTACAAATTTCGCAGGAGTTGATTTCCTCCCGATTTGACAGATGTTTGTTTTATTTTCATTTTTAACTTATTTATGAGTCTTTTATGAGGCTGAGAAGATAATGAGGGTAAAGAGACGAGTATCAGGAAGTAATTTAGTCCGACTCAACAAAATGTAACAGTCACTGAAATCCCCCCATAAAGTTTGTTGGATGAGACAGCTTTTCGAGTTCTACGGCCATTTCCATTTGCTTCACTTCCAATTGCTTGGCCCGTAGATATTCCGTCATCGTGATGCTTCCTTGTTTGACCAGTTCCTAAGGCGAAAAAAGTTGGCTGCGAAATAATCTCAAGGGCAAATGCAACATGACATACCGCCAAGACAAGAGACTCAGATCGAACCACACTTCCAGATGCCGATGACCAAGTCGAGTGACGAGCAGGAAGTGTAGGTGAATCTTCCACATTCCGAAGTAGTCCATTTGTTGATCCCGTAAGCGATGGAGGAAGAGGGGATATAGGCGATCCGGACTTCTCTGGTTCTATATACGGAATCAGAGACTGCATAGGCGCAAATCCACACTGCCCTCCTTTCCAGACCAGCGCCCATCCATCGGTATACGTGTTTGCAACCACGACGATATCACCCTCTTCGATCGATATCTCATCTTCTAATTGAGCTGGATTTGATCTAACTACTAAATAATGTACGTGTTGGTAGGATGGTGGTGGTTCTATTGGGTTTGGCTGGCCGTTAATGTTGTCGATTTGTTTTTGGACTGACTGGCGTGTACTATGTGCTAGTGAATCCATTCGTGAACTGTATTGTGTCGTGTCTATGCTGTCTAATTGCTGCTGTTGGTGATTGTGTCTTATAGCAGTAGAGTGCCGTTGAAGTGCTAATAAATCATTACCACTATCAGTACGATGATATGCTTTACGTCTAATCGTCTCTTGTATCGATTGTATAGTTGATATTGTCGCACCACTTGTTAATGGCGATAGTAAACTTGAGTTTGATGGTGACGATGATGTTGAATCGTTTGTTGCAGAGCCTTTATTGTTCCGTATAAAAGATTCGTCTGATGATGATCCTGTCGTCAAACCTGTATGCGGAGATCCACGATACGAGTGCGCAAAACTGAAACTACGTTGTGGTAACCCTTGCTGCTGTTGATTATCATCGTTAAGAGATGTTTTGCTCTTTTCTGCGGTCGTGGGATGTGATGAGAGTTCCGTCAGATGCCATAGTGCAAACAGGAAGCAACATCCAGCGGATACGAAGGAAGCGCCACCGCCAACCATTGTCGGTATATAGGTGCTCCATGTGACTGGCGTGACGCGAGAGATCCCATTTTGGACGTTTACACGATGTGTGCCTGTGAGGATTGTAGCCAAACTGCCACCCATTGCTAAACAGTAGAAGAGAGAGGTTAGATCGCATCCAAGCACGTTGATGAGCAGCGAACGTGCTCCAATTGTTACGAAAAGTCGCGAATTTGAAAAAAAACTAACCCAGCCAAAAGTTGAAGAGTCCGATAATCGTGAGGATCATGGTGACCACAACCATGAAGATCGATTCCTGACGACTCCTGTACGTGTTTTGCCGTAACAAGAAGAATTGTCGGACTAGACATGAGGCTGTTGAAAGCAACGATACTGTTGTCGATATGCTGTAAACCTGACATAGATATGCAACGTCATTCCTGACCGCATCGACAATCCAGAGATTGCATTGTTGAGATGACAGTAATGGAGGTAATGCGGTTACAAAACTGACGGCTGTAAAGAGCTGTGATTACCGGTGGGGTCAGTTTTTCGATCATTTAAGCTTTTTCAAACTTGATGCATTCCAAGACGAATCAAATGTCTTACCACTGATACAAATAGAAGCAGCAAGTCACGAAGGACTGTAGTTCTGGCCGCTCTCATTGGTCTTTTCTCTTCGTGCCTTCTTGCTAAAGTTTTTGTGGTGAAAATATACGCATGGACTGGACTGGCGGAGCTTCAATTGTGCTTGGTAAACATTTCCGTGCATGTGTCTCCCTACTATTTAGATCGTCTACGGAAAGTCGGAAACTCTCTCGACGCGTCCTGTGCAGTGCCTCGTCGCTGACTCTCATCCAATGTAAATCCCCGTTCCTGTTCCTTGTGAAAATGTTGGACCTGCAACTTCGTAGCGAGGACGACGTTTCTCCAAAACCTTCATCTCATGCGCCAATAAGAAGACCTGTATCGTCAGCATCTATTATCAATTGATATATTTGCGGAACCTTGCTTAGAGCGACCGCTAGGACAATTTTGGATTTTTCTTGCTTGCTTGTAAAGAAACTCAACTAGTTGGACAACTAGTAGCAAGGAGGTCTAACTATGAACATCACGTAGGCGTGCATCAACCATCATCCGAACTCGTATGAAGGGATGAAATGCGTTTTCTACTGCTTCGCATCCGCTCCTGCCTTTCATGTTGGCAGATACGCGCCATTTTAACTCAAAAGCTGTAAACCTTCTAAGAACGAGGGAACTAGCATACAAAAGAGGCAGCGAGTGTGTACTGAGTACGTAGATTTACAACCAGAACTACCAGATCTTTAGGGTCCTGCACAAAGGAAAACACGCCCGACCATGTCGCATCTTTCGTTAAAGGTCACGGTGGTGGAGTTGGGCACCACCAAGACCATACATGTAAGATGCATGCACACACCCGTATCAGATTTTTTCATTGAATCAGTATGCGTTACTCATATCTTACTCCGTTCTTCAACAAGTTCACCGGTGACATGTCTGCGTATGAGGCATGTAAAGAAATTCGAGAGAAATTCGGTGCTGAAGCAGGTGGTTCCGATCACGGTATATTCTGGCCTGCTCAAACGAAATGGCTGGCCAACAACAAAGTCTTGGATTTCTATGATCTTACTTCTGGTGATGAGGTGGAATTCAAGAAGAAACACCGACCATTACGTGTCCGTACTATGGATGGTAGTGTCAAAACTGTATTGATTGATGAGAGTTTACCTGTTCAAGCTATCGTTGTTACTGTTTGTGAGAGGATTGGTATGTGCTTGCTATGGTCTTTTCTTGTTGGCGATGTTGGAGTTACAAATTTAACTGACGCAAAAAAAATCAACAACGCATTGCACACGACTAGGTGTGGCCAATCCTGAAGAATACTCCTTTTTACCTGATGGTCCCATGTTTGATGAAGGTGGTACTGTAAGAGGAACAATGCGAAAGAAGGGAAAGGCACATATCGAAGAAGAGGGTAAACGATTTGGTTCAAGACACGCGTCGATGTTTTGCTCTTCATCCAAAAATTCGTTATTTTTATTAGCAAAATGGCTCAATGCCGAAAAGACTCTCAGAGAACAAGGATTTACGGAAAACGACAGTGTCTTGTTAAAGAAAAAGTTCTTCTTTTCTGATCAAAACATTGACAGAAACGATCCAGTCCAACTCAATCTACTCTACAACCAAGCTCGTGAAATGATTGTATCAGGAAAACATCCATGTACCAAAGATGAAGCCGGTCTTTTTGGGGCTATTCAATTACAAACACAGTATGGAAACCATGAACCTGATAAGCATCGCCCAGGATTTGTCAAGTAGGTTGAAACTGATGCCCGGAATTAGGTCTCGATGCAAGTATAACTTTTTTCGCACGCTTTAGGATGAAGGAATTCGTCCCTCCAGAATACGTGAAAAACAAGGACGTTGAAAAGAAAATGTACAGCGAACACTCCAAGCTCCAGGGCTTGAACGAACTCAATGCCAAGTTTAGATACGTGCAATTGAGCAGATCACTTAAAACTTATGGTATCACTTTCTTCTTGGTCAAGGTAAATTGTAGATTGTCACAAAAAAAAAATTAAAACCAAACCAAATAACCAAAAAATGACGTTGCTGACACCAATGAACACAACAGGAACGAGCTGAGAAGAAGAGCAAGCTTGTAGAAGTATTATTGGGTGTCACGAAAGAGTCTGTGGTTCGTCTTGACGTTGAAAGCAAGGACGTTATCAAAACATGGCGTCTGACTCAACTGCGTCGTTGGGCAGCTTCACCAAATAGGTATGTGGTTCAAACCAAAAAAAAAATTGTCTAGCCGCGTTCCATAGTTTCTAACATCTTTTCCAGTTTTACCTTGGACTTTGGTGATTACGCCGATGCATACTACAGTGTGTTGACCACTGAAGGAGAACAAATATCCCAACTGATTGCTGGTTATATTGATATTATTCTCAAAAAGAAAAAGGCAGCCGACAGACAAGTGCCAGATGAAGAAGAAGAGCACGCAGCTGTAGAAGAATATGTCCGTCCCGGACGTGCACAAGCAGTTGGTTTGGCTCAAGCTGCTCAACGTGCCGGTAACGTGCAAAATGTCGGTCAAGTCCAACAAGTCGATATGCAACGTATGCAATTTGCACGTCAAGGACCCATATCGCTGCAATATGCCGACTATGGAGCAGATGTAAATGGTGATTTGCAAGTAGCTCAGCAGACTCTATTGACAAACATGCAAAATGGCCATGCAGCTATCGCCAATGTACTCCAATCACTGGGGTCTGCTTTGGAATTGCCCCCTATGGGATCTGATCCTGCCTCAATGGCATGGAGAGAACAAACCCGTGATGTCAACGGTGAAAACATTGCTTCACAAATCGCCTCGTATCTAGCTGCTGCTGGATCTCTTGTTATCCATGCTACCGGAGACGTTGCAAATCAAGACTACGATCGTATATCAGCCAATATGGCTACTATTTGCTCTAGTTTAGGTCAAATGTCTACTGCAATCAAGATGTTGGCGGCGCTATGTGATAATGCACAGGAAGGAAACGAATTATTAAGTTGTGCTCGTCGTCTTGCAACTTCTTTAAACGGACTATTAGCTGCTACGCGTCCCGTCGTACTGGGTGAGGCCAAGAGTGAACACATGTATCAAGCCATAAGAGACCTTACAGCCTCATCAAATCAAATGCTTGCCATGCTTAAAAAGGTCGAAGTGCCCGAAGATGATCAAAAGGAATTGGTCGTCCGAGCCAAGGCTGTTGAAAATGCCTCTCGTGGATTTGCCGAATATGCTCAGCGTACTAGTGCCGGAATCCGTGACAAAACAGCTGCCAATCAAGTCCTGCTTGACGCCAACGCTGTCACACAATTGGCATCTCAGTTATTGGCTTGTACGGGTGTTTTGGCACCCATGATCTTATCACCGTTATGTCTCGATCAACTATTAGAAGGATCTGTCTTGCTCCAAGACAGTGTCGAAACTACATCTCTGACTGCTCAAGGCTGTAACGCACCTAAAGCTCTGCGAGACTTGCAAGACTCTACTCAGCAAATCAATGACGCTATTGCTAAACTAGTAGAAAAAGCCAAACATCCAATCAAGGAGGAAGAAGTGTCTGAACTTGACTTGCAATATGACCGTGTCGTCAACTCCGTGGATATGATGTTGTCGCATCTAGGGTCTGGAGATGGTATTGTAGGTGCCGCTAGAGATCTCACCGTTACCGCTACTACCTTTATAAATGCACTGAAAGCTTCTGGTGGTGGTGTAGAAGCTGATGAACGTAAACGGCTAGCCTCCGCAGCCCACAATCTTGCTGAAGCTACTGCTCGAATGGTAGCAGCTGCTAAAGATGCAGCGCGTAATCCATCTGATATGGATCGTCAAGTCCGATTGAAGGATGCCTTGGCTGAACTACAAGAAGCAGCAGGTGAAGCTATTGGAGCTCGTGTCCGACAAAAGGCCTTCCAGAAATTGGCTAAAGCTGCTAAAGACGCCGTCTCGTCCTCCAACCAAATCATCACAGCATCCAAGAATGCTGCACCTTCTAACCGTAACCAGGCCTCTCAACAACAACTCAACTTGGCTGCCAAAAGGGTTGCCGAAGTTACTCCGACATTGGTTACGGCAATCAAGGCTTATAATGCTGATCCAGAAGACACGAACGCTCAAATGCGTCTGGTTAATGCTTCTAAACAGCTAATTGTACCCGGCCAATCTCTCAATGCTGCTTCTAGAGCTGCAGCGCCCACAACAGGGGATCAAGCTGCTCAAGCTGGATTGATTTCAGCTGCCCAGCAAAACTCTACGTCTTTGGAGGCTTTGAGTAAAACATTCGAGTTGGCTGAGAGTATCAAATCTGGCTTCCAACTTGAATCTGCTCTCGAGGTTGTACAAAAAGTACATGCCGATATGGTCGAAGCTTGTGGTGCACCTAGTAAAGTTAAAGCACAACCTGGTCAAACTGTTGAATCGTCTCAACTTGAAATTCAAAGTGTCACTAAATCTATGATTGGTGCTATTGGTCAAATGACTGCTTCCATGGAGAAGGGAGACGAGAAGTTTATGGGAATCGCTGCTACAGATCTTGTCAATTTGGTCCAAGCATTATCTGCTGCCGCTAAAGCTGTATGTGGTACCAGCAATGATCCCGACACCAAGAGTCAGATCCTTGAAGCTGCTGCCAACTTGGCTGCTGAGATTGCTAGAATGCTTGAAGCTGCTAAAGCCGGTCGTGATGGTACTGCTGTTACGGAAGCTGCTTTGAAAGACTTGGCTCATAGTGCTACTGAAGCAGTGACTGCTATTGCACAATGCTTGCCTGGTCAACGTGATATAGATAGAGTTCGTGTTACTGTAGAACGTCTTCAAAGTCAAATCGCGTCTGGTAAATTGGCTCAACTTGGAAATGGAAAAGATTCCTTTCAAACTGCCCAAAACAAACTCGAAGTTGCTACCAATGCACTTGTACTGTCTATGAATAATCTAGTAGCTGCTACAAAAGGAACTCCATCTGAACTTATTATTGGTGTCAAGGGCTTTGAAAGCTCGATAAATAAACTTGCTGAGGCAGCGGGTAGTTTTGCTGGTAAAGATGCCGAAACTGCTGAAAAGATTCAGGCTCTATTATCGGATGTATTTACTGCCAGTGCAGCTCTACTATCTAGTACCAAACTCGTTGCTGCAGACCCGACCAACGGCATTGAGAAGAGCAGACTCATGGATGCTGTACGTAGTGTAGGTGAATCTCTGAGCAAGCTTATGGAAGGATGCGCTGTCTCTGCACCCGGACAGTCAGAGTGTAACAAGGCATTGCAAACTCTTGCTATCGCTAATGCTCGTCTGGATGCCGTCAACGATGCTACACCAAATAACGATACTTACGCAGAGTCATTGGCCATTGTGAGCAGTCAAGTCAAACAACTGTCTTCGCAGCTCAATAGTATGCTGGCAGCTGCCCGATCAGGAGATGCCAACAAGCTTGCTTCAGGTGTTACCGATGTCAGTGATTTGATCTCGAGTATTACAGAAGCGAATTGTAGAGCTGTATGTCTTATTGGATTGGCAGATCCTTCCTCCGTAGCGGCTACAAGTGGTGCGGTAGATACCACCATCTTCTCTAAGACCACTGCTGATATGAGGGCTGCTTTTGATAAACTGGTAAATCCTAATAACAAGCAACAAGATGTTGTTGAACATGCTGCTCAAGTCGCAAAACATACTGCTGCCTTGTGTAATGCTTGTAAGAAAGCAGGTGCTGATCCAGCAGTCAGTGGAATGGCTCGCCAACGCTTTAACGAAGAAGCTCGAGACATTGCAGCTATTACTCAAGATCTAGTCCAGAGCATTAAAGTATTGGCGGTCAAACCATCTGAAGTCACTCGCAGTAGATGTGTCGCTGCATTTGCACCTTTACTAGAGAAGGCCAATGTATTGGTGGAATACACTCGATCTGGCGAGTTTGCTGGTGAACCTGCCAGATTCTCACCTATGGCTCAAGCATCTCAACGCCCACTCGTCGATTCCAACCGTAATGCTATTGGATCCGCACAAGGAGTATTCGAAACATCGAGAATGTTGTGTGCAACTCCGAAAGATAGTGCTGCTATTCAACTCTTGCAATCACAAGTTAAATCTCTGACTGATGCTATTCAAAGTCTGACTTCATCGATTGCTTCTGGTGCTCCTGGACAACAAGAATGTGATGAGGCTCTTGAAAAGATTACTGATACAGTGGCTGCTTTAGATGGAGCTGTTGTCGATGCTATGGCTGGACGATTAAAAGCTCAACCTGGACAAGATCCCTCTCATTTGGTTGATACTGGTCGTGCATTGGTGTCTCTTGCTGATGTCATTGGTGATAATGCCAAGAGTAACGGTGCTGAATTGGGAGCTTCGGTGTTGCAACTACCAGCTACGTTTGCCCAAGTAAGTAATTCACCTGCTCTTGTGGTGAAGTACCACGACCGCGAACAAGGCGCTTTTGCATCTGTGATATTTTTGATTTTAATCGTCATTTTCTAGTTCGCCTCATATGCCGGTTCATGTGCTGCTGGTCTCAAGGACGCAAATCAGCAAAAGTCTCTTTTGGAAGCAGCCAAGGATGTGGGAGATTTGATGCTTGCTTTCTTGCACGCTGCCAAAGCCAATGGTGGAAACAGTCTAGATATTGGCAAGCAGCAACAAGTAGATGCTCAACGTGAATTATTCCAAGCCAGTATAAAGAAGGTCACGGCCTTTGTCGAGGGCACTGGAGAAGAGACAGCCGAGTTTACAGCTGCTGCCGATCATATTGAAGCAGGATTGAAGAACTTCAAATCTAAGATTCCAGCTCGTGTAGGCGAAACATACCAAGCATATGCAACTCAAGTTGATACCCAAGGCAAACAGTTATTGGAAGCTATTGGTGAAGCAATCTCAAAAGCCAAGACTCGAGAACAGTTTGCTGCACTCGCCAACCGAGTCAGCACTGTCTTTGACGATATTATCCTATCTTCTGGTTGTGCTATTGCTGCATCTGACGATCCGAGTATCAAGCAATCGATTACAGAAGCAGTTCGAGATTTGGGTGGAGCTTTGATGCGTCTCTTGGATGCATCTCGATTAGCATCACGAGGAACCGATAATGTAAACCGTAGTAAACTCAGCTCAGCAGCTCGAGAAACCGCTTCATCTACTTCCAACCTCCTCAATGCTGTGCGTGAAGGATCCAAAGGTATTATTGCATGTGAAAACGCCAACAGTAATCTGTCGTCCCTTATCGGTGATATGGAAACGACGACCATCTTTGCTCAAGCTGGACAACTTGACCCAATGGACTCCAAAGATAATTTTGGTCGTCACAAGGATGCTATTCTCACTAATGCCCGTCAATTGATTGAATTGACAAAGAGGTTTATTGCAGCTGCTACTGGTACTCAGAATGATCTAGCAGATGTAGCAGGAGCTGCTGTACAAGTCATGGCATCTTTAATGGAGCATTCTAAAGCTGGCGCAACTGCCGTAACATCAGCTGATAAAAATATGCAAGTACAACTCTTGGCTGCAGTTCGTGCTGTAGCTGAATCCCTTCAAGGTCTGGTTACTGCGGCCGGTGTTGCATGCGGTCAACCCGAAAACGATCCATCTATGAACGACTTGGGTGATAGTGTCAAGATGCAGTTTGGTGCTGTTGCTGAACTTATTAGAGTAGCTAAATTGCTGGGTGACGAAGCATCTCGTGGAATCCGAGCTCTTGAGGGGGCTGCTTCCGAAATTGATGAGGCTATAACTGTATTAGAATCACAATCACCAGCTCAAGGAACTGCTCTTCCGGAAGAAGTCGCTGCTATTGCCAAACAACTCGCTACCGCTTCGGCTGGATTGGTGTCTGCTAGTAATGGTGCCAAACAAGATGATGTCGTTGCTGCTTGCAACCATGTCAAGAATGTATTTGTAGATCTTAGTCGTGCTGGTAAAGCTGCTACTGAAAAGGCACCTGCGGAAAAGAGAAAGGATATGCATCGGGCAGTTATACATGCTGGAGAATCTACAAAGATGCTACTTGGTACAGTGAAAGGTGTACAAGAAGCACCTACACCCGAACACAAGCAACAGGTACAAAATGCAGCCAAGGAAGTCGCAGCAGCAGTCGCCACAGTCATGCAATCTTGTGGTGCATTGATTCCAGGTGGTTATGTAGATCCAAATGATCCGAACGTCATTGCCGAACGTGAATTATTGGCTGCTGCCTCATCTATAGAAGCTGCAGCACGTAAACTCGCTCAAATGAAACCACCAGAACGACCACGTCAAGCCAACGAAGAGCTAGGATTTGATGAACAAATATTCGAAGCTACTCAAGCTATTGCCTCAGCCTGTGCTGCACTCATCAAGTCTGCAACTGGTGCTCAGCGTGAAATCGTAGCTCAACAAGGCAATGCCAAGAAATCCGATAAAGTGTATTATAGTGATGGAACATGGTCGGATGGTCTTGTATCTGCAGCTAAAGCCGTGGCTGCTGCCACTGGAGATCTCTGTGCTGCAGCCGATGCAGCTGTCAAGGGCAACGTGGATCGAGAACGTGTAATAGTCGCGGCTCGTAACGTATCAGCTTCCACCACCCAGTTATTATCGGCTGCCGCTACAAGTGTAGATCCAAACTCCCAGTCACAAATACGTCTCCAAGCTGCTGGAAAGGCCGTCACATCTGCTGCAGATCAACTGTGCAAGGCTGCTGATCAATCCATGATGTTTGATGATGCTGAACAAATAACGTCAGATCTCATGAAGGGTGGTGCTACAAACTCTAGAGTGGTTGAAATGGAAGCACAAGTATCGATTCTCAAGATGGAGAAGGAACTGGAGAATGCTAGGAAGAAATTGGCTGCAGTGCGAAAGGGCAAATATGATGTCCAGACAGGGACTGTCAGGGGGCCCAAGAAATAATAATATGTGCTAAAATTTTGTATTATATGTCACTCGTTCGTGTTTTTATACTCATTGCTACTTTTCAATACACAACATCACGTATAATTGTAACTGTTGGTTTGAGAGGTGTTTTCTCCGTAATCATACGCACAGAATTTTAGGATTAAAACAAAGATTTCTTTTTCCTCGTATTCGAGCTTGAGCCCCCGCAAGAGTAAGAATTGACGTGGACGAATACCAGGGCAAGAAGGGAGGGGAAGTGGATAACCTTGCTTCGCATGGATGCTTTCACTGATGAGGTTATTATGGTTTGCCTCCGGTTGCTCAACCGGGGAATTTTCCGTCAGAAATCCAAGTCTTCAGGAAAATTCACTTATTGAGGTCTCCGAAAATACTAGACAAGACAAGGTCGCCATCGAGAGCGTATTTAGCACATTAATTTCCATCATGGAGGTGCTCCCGTGGGGTACTCTGGAATATGTCTCTGCGGGCATCATTGTGTCGTTATTGATTCCTGCGGCAGTCATAAATGCTTTGCTTCTGGTCGCCTTTTTCACGGACAAAAGGTATGACTTAGAGCTTAAGAAGTATACAATTTACTAAGATTGCTGACTCGACTGTCTGCTCAGGAATTGGCACAGCGGACAGACGGTTCTGATTGTGAATTTACCTTTGAGGCACGTTGAATCAAGATCAAGCCTATGGACATAATGTCTGCGCGAGATGCCACATTAATCAGCGTCCAGCTTAGTCTGAAAATGGCCACTGAATCGGTTTATTGTTGGCAATATCCTCAACGACTCGTTAGTAACATTGACACCTAATAGCCATTTTGTCTACATATGGTTTTCGATGATCGCCCTACTTCGATCCATAAATTATGGATCTGTACTGCCATCTCAAGTGTTCTGCAACGCTCAAGGCTGGATTTTGGTCTCATGTGCATGTATTGGAATGCTTACCTTGCTGCTCTTGGCGTACGATCGTTGGGTTACTATTTGCAAGGTTAAGAATAGTGCATGGGACATCCAACAGTGGTGAATGCATCGCATTAACTGGTAATTGTCGTATAGAATCGGGCAACAAGTAGCACAAAGGCAGCTATATTGTGCTGCTGTGTTTGGGGCTTTAGTTGTCTGGCGTCTGGCATATTTAGTATGTCTTCAAATCCTACTGTACAAATTCTTCCTCTGATACCCACCCGATAAACCTTATAGTACTCTTTGGCAACATGTCTCCACATCTTTTGTACTGTGGGTTGAGTCTGTCTTCATTTCTCCTCCAGTCCGTGAGAAAACTAATGCTATGCTTTCAGGTGTAAATAATTGGACGACGAGGGACTCTGTGCAAGTTTTTATGACATCTCTTGAGGTCGTTATTGTCGGGCTGGTGTTATTGGGACTCATTTTCTTTTATGGTTTGATAATACGGCACATTGAAGAAAGACAGAGATCAATGAGTACACTTGTGCAAGGTTAGTGGCTGACAATTTGTATTAATGATGGCAAAAGAACCATTCCAGATCCGCCTACTGCAACTTGTACAATCATGTAGGAATTGTAATGGGAAGAAAAGAACAAACAGAGTCTGCGGAGAGGGGCAGCAATCATCGAGCTAGCAAAAGGAGCTCCACTTGGCAGAGAACAGAAACTGCAGTATTTGTCAAACTCTGTGTGATGACGTTGGCAACTTGTATAATATGGCTTCCGACAGGTACTGGTTTTGTTTCAAGGACACTGTCATCGTTTCCTCTTTTTGCTTCTTGGTGCTAAATTAGAACGGTTTAGGGATTCAAATCATCTATGAAGTTTCCACGCTTCAACCAGTGCCCAAAGAATACGATTCCTTCTGCGCTATGTATAACAGTGTAGCGTTTAAATACCCGAATTGAACATTAACTAATTAATCAACACCATTTATAGAATGTTATACACGCAACCATTGGTCGAGGGGATTCTAATCATGTGGACCAGTGCGCATCTACGGGTTAAAATATTTCGATTTATTGGGCTCAGCACATCAAGTCTTTGCGTTGCTCGAAGCTCCTCAATCGCTGAAAACCATTCTCATGGTGGCTATACTCAAAACAGTACAGGACTACTCAGGAGTTTCGTAGAAGCCGGTAGCACATCCAAGAAACCTTCAATAGCACGCTCCAATAATATACCTTAGTTTAGTTTCCATGCCAACGGTCTGCGTGAAGTGCTTCGGTGATATTCTCTCAGTGATGAGATCCTCATCAACGGTTTTATTCATTTGCGCTTCTCAAGTTTTACGACAAAAGGCATCCAACATTGATGAGACAAACCGACTTGGAGCTCATGTGAGAGCATTGATAAAGTTGTCCGATCTTACAGCCAGAAGCTTGATCTGATTGTCATTACAGAAATTGGTGTCCAAATCTCGTGCTGCTTATAATCCTTTTATTGGCTCGACACTTTCTCAAATGGAGCTCTTTGCCACGCATCATGGACACCGATATTCATGGATGGGTTCCGAGTCAGACACTTTGTAACGCGCCAGTTGTTGTCATAGTGCCTGGTGAAGTTGCAGACTTCATGTTCACCCTCAAGCAACCGCTTGTCGTGTGGAGCAGCGGGCTTACCTCTTGTATACTTGAAAGATTAGATTGCCTTTAAGGGTTGAATCGGCGACATAGTCAACATTTCTTCTTGGCCAACATTGAAATTTCTTCGACAAACCGAAAGTATTTGTTGTAACAATGCTTTCCGGAGTTCAACGAATGCCTCCTTTGCAGTGTTTTCTTGATGGTGTCATTGCTCACCAAAGGAACTTTTAATTTCCGACAACGATGTTGAACACTCTTGGTCATTTTTCGCGACTTACCGAATCGCGACAAAACATCTTTGAAAATTTTCCGGATGTGGGTACCGAGGAACTCAAGTCTTTAAAACGCGGAGGTTGCAGATACTCAAATCCTATGTGGTTAAAAAATATCAATCTGCTCACAGTGAAACGACACGCAGCCATGACTTCAAAATCCTAAACTGCTGTCAGTGAAGACAGTTGGGGTCGTCGGGGGCGGTTTCCGGTATGGATATAGTGCCATGGGTAAAACTAGACTATGTGGGAGCAATTCTCTTTTTGTGCATCATGGGCGTGGCAAGCGTTTTGAATGCGCTACTACTTGTAGCGTTCTTCAGTAGCAGAAGGTATGTTCCTCCTTTTGCAGCAAGACTTACAATTACAACCAGAAATCTGATCCCGGATGAGAATCACCCACCAGAATATGGAGTCCAAATCTCCTGCTCCTTATAAATCTTCCTTTGGTTCACTTCTTTTTAATATGGTGCTCGATTCCGCCTATACTGGACGCCGTGATTATTGGAAAAATTCATTCAAGTCAAACACTTTGTGATGCGCAAGGAGTTGTTATAGTGACTGGTGAAGCGGCGGGGCTTTTGGCACTGCTGACGTTAGCATTTGATAGGTATATGGTCATATGCAGGGTAAGTGACGACTTTGTGAACTGTGTTATTGAAATTCCCAGAGCTCAAACAGCCTTATTCCACAGAAAACGGTCACGAATATGACGCAGGCGGTGTTACTTTGCGCTTGCACTTGGATTATCGGCTTTTGTGTCCCTTTACCTATATGTATGTTTTAGATTGTCGCAACGTCAGATGACACTCTAAACCAGTGTTTCTCTACCAGTAATTGCTGGCCACATGGCACCAGATGAATCCATTCCCATCTACTGTGTGAATAAGTGGAATTCAAGGGAACTGACGGACATGATTGTAACATCTCTAGAATTGATTGTCATCTCTGTGTCCATTGGATCTATATGCTTCTTTTACCTATCGATCATTAGATACATCAACTTAACCCATAACAGAATGAGCAGGGCTCTGTCAAGCGTCAGTGAGTCTGGGTCTGAGAAGGAAGTCACTGTGAGGACATCTGCGGTGAAGAATGCAATGGAACCTCATGAACGCATAAGGCGTGTCAGCCATCGCTCTATGCAGAAAACTGAAGTATCAATATGCTTCAAGCTTGGATTTCTCACACTATGCACCTTTGTGACTTCAAGTCCAAATGGTAACGGTATTTGCTTTTGCTGGTTGTAAAGCCACTACGCAACTCAAAGAACTTTACTGTAGCAATCAGACTTGGCTACGAAGTCGTATCAGTGCAGCCCATTAGCCCCGAGTTTGACCTATTCTGTGCGGTGATTACATGCAGTCAATTGGTGATTGAAAGTTTGTTGGTCATCTATACATCGTCTCCGTTGAAAGCTGTCATCCTTTCCTTCTTCGGATATCATTCCCCTCGAACTTCATTTCGTGAACAACGAAGAAACCCGTCGTTTGTAGATTATTACCATGCAAGCCCAAGATCAAGTGTACCAGTTTGACAATGATATTTATTATTATACAGTTGTGAGAATCAACGCTAATATACTTATATACATTATTACAAGCTTGTGTTGAGCAAGAGGCAGACTCCTTGTAGAGTCCAGTGACTAGAGTGCTCATTCGTGCTTAAATCGGCATCAAATACCCATCCAACTCCCGATGCATTGCGACGTTGTTGTGTTGTATATACAGGGGTTCGGAAGGTGTTTTGAAGTTTGAGACGACTGGCTTCTATAGGTATAATACGGAGGATGGGAAGATTCGTGATGAGATTACCAACACCAGTTGGCAGACGACGCAGACAGCTCTTTTCCATTTCCCAGCCTGCTCCTTCAAGATATAGACCCTGTACATAACACCCACTAGGTGGTCGTTCTGTGACTTCAGACGCAGAGGCGTAGCTAGTCACTTGTGTATATAATGTTGATCTGTCTAGAGGCCAGCCATTCTTTCTGCATGTTGTCTGGACCAGAGCCGTTATATAAGCCTCAGGGACATGAAGCCCTGACAACCACATTACTATAGGTTCTCCCTGTTTTACCCAAGAAGTATACTGAGCATAACGACGTTCAAAGTGCTGCATCCAACTGCCTAGATTTTTTTCTGTTTGAGGTGCTAGATTACGCCATAGACCCGGAATTGTACCATTAAACAAGGCATTAGCAACGTCGTCAAGTTTGGCACTCATTCCGATTTCTCCCCTCAATGCTGAAGCCAAATCACGTAACGAGTGCTTCATAGATTCTACGAGATTATTCCAACGTTCCAGTTCCTGTAAGAGTACGACCTGCGTTGGCGATGGTACCTTGAATTCCTTCTGAATTTTAGAGATATCGTATGGTATTGGAAGTCTGGCCTGTATATCTTTGGCAATACCACCAATAAATTCTTCACGACTAATACCACCGACACCATCCATTGTACGGGGCTGTAAGCTGGTCAGTTGGCTCCACATACTTCGAACCGAGTCGATTAGATAGCCAATTTCTGCGTCGGGATGAAGACCAAATACTTCGGGCGAGTTGGTCAACGGTAATTCCTCAATGGCATTAAGATAAGTATCACGACTGGTTCCTGGTGGTATATTATACGTCACTTTGTTATTGGCAAAGAAGGCGAAAGGCTGGAAGTTGTCGAATAAGAATTCGCCTAGATATTCATCAAGATACGTCATCAAGACTCGACGATCATAGTCATCCGTGACACGACCACCATATATAGTTTCACCAATAAGATATCGGAGAGTGGTCCATGGTATTTTATTCTCAATATTACCGAGTGACTTGTTGAGGTAGGTGCGTAGAATTATTGCGGATACCCTAAAGTCAGACTCATTAAAGTCATACTTCACATTCCATCCAATCTTGCCGTATTTTCCTCGCTCCTGGACTACAGCGTGGAAGAATGCTAAGGCGAATACAAGTGGACGGAAGAGGTCGTGGGAGCAATCTTTGAGATTTTCTTCAGTCAGATGGTAATACGTGCTACGTAGATTGAGTTTCAGACCGTTTGGCGGTTCGGTGACTACTTTGAGTGATCTTTGCAGAATACCGATAGGGAATTGTGGCGTTGGTTCTGTCGTGAGCCACAATCTAAAGTCTTTATGTGGTCGATCAATCTTTTCCAGCACCTTTTCTAGAGTACGAAGCCATGCTACAAGCAAATGGCAATTCTGCAACATGAGCCACTGTCCACGCGCCACTGCCGTTTCTAGCAATTGCAAAGCTATTGGTGCTTGTCCTTGACCAAGAGACAAGAATTTCAACCTATTACCACCATATCCAAGAGTTTCCGCGAGTTTCTGTAGGTCTGTTTGTGGATCAGCACCGGGACTCAATACGAATACGACTGGGGTGTTGGGTGACGACTGTTCAAAGATATTGGCAAAGTTGATGACTGGCGGCATTACATACTTTTCACCCATGTGGTCAATTACATACTTAGTGACTGCATTATAAACACGATCGACTCGGAAGCATCTCAACAAACACAATTGTTGGAACGCATTCAACTTTTGCAAGTCATCGTATGGCGATGGTGACATTTCAGGGGCATCTAATGCACACCATTGTGCCCAGTTAGCCTTCGTCTTTTCTCCTCGTAGCTGATCTGGCAAGGCAGCAAAGATTGGATTCAATGTAGATAGACGTACTAAATCCTTCCATCCCTGATCCGTTATGAATGTTACTGGTTTTGCTTCCTTGGGATTCTCCAGCGTTATATCACCCTTGAGGAAGAAGTTTAGCTCAGCTGGGTCAATCAGCCCATCACCTTCCATAAGCCTTATAGTCATTTGGAATGAGAACATCAGCTTGTGACGTTCAAACAGCCCAGTACATGCATAATTATATACGGCATATTTTAATGTGTCCGTGATTTTGACTAATCGTTTGGCTACTACAGGATCTGGCTTACTCTTTGACAGAGATGCAGAGAAAACTTCCAAGAAGGCTGATAGGGAGTATTCGTACATGGGGTTAATGGCCGAGAGCTCAGACAAGACAAAGTATAAGATGGCTCCACATTTGGCAACTGGTCTATATCCATCACGAGAAATTTCGACTTCTTCGGATGTTTGATTAGCCAAGACAAGCTTTTGAGCGATTTCGGTAGCCTTCGATTTCGTCTCTTCCAAAGTTCGAATTAGCTCAACATTATCCAACATTAGACCTGTTGATGATGCCAATTCTCGTAGCAGAGTGTCTTCCAGATCCTTGAGAAGAGTCTTGTTCTGACTCATTTCCATTACAAGCCGTTCTCTCATCTCCTCCAACTCTTTTCGTTCGTGACGGACTACAAAGTTGAGCAACTGGTCACTCAATCCTTTGAAGGTGACATTATAGTTGATGACCATAGCACTACCAAACACCTTGGGAGTGTAAACAGGATTGGCTAGTCGTGACACGAGGTATAATCGGAAGTTGGGATCAAAGTCTACTTCCTTATCACCAAGGACGATAAATTTACGAGAACCTGTAGTTTTATAGTTTTTTTCTAATACGGCATCGATGACTGGATCTATATATTCGTCGACATCCTCAAAGAGGAAGGGAAAGCCGTAAGTCATGGCCATTTCAAGATGCTTCAAGAAGTCGGGATCGTTGAATGACGACACCTTCAAATTATTGGCAGCTTCACGTTTACGAATCCATGCTAGTGCCTGCTCTTGTGGATCGATACACAGTGGGAAACGACTGGCTTTTGTCGTTAGAATACCGTTCTGGATTGACAATTCGTCGGATGGTAGACCTTCTTGGGCCCATTTGCTCATTTCGACGTCGGTGGTCAAGAGCTTTTCGACCTTAAAGTTCTTCGATATGGGAACTCCACGGCTTCTCAAGTCTTTGAGCCACTTTTCATATATAAGCTCATTACGAAGTTCCCAATTGAATGCACCAGTATAACTCAAAAAGGCGGATATCAACAGACAGTCTCCCAATAACTGAGTTCTTTGCTCCTTTAAGCCCGTCAAGTCTTCGGCCCATCGGACACGTTCTGAACTGAGACCACTGATAAGTTTATCGGCAGCAGCCAAACGCCTTTGCATAATCTCAGCCATCTCTTTAAGTTCAAGCTGTTCAGTCTTTGCTTGATGGAAACTAGATTGGAGAGTCGACAATTCTTTTGTCAGACGAGACAGCTCCTGTACAATCCGTTCGTATTCAGCTTTACTCATCATCAAATCACGTTCTAGTTGAGCGACGGCGGCACGTTTAGGTGCGATAGTCTTGGCTACGTTACAATAACCAACTACAGCTAAGACGAAGGTCAGCAGACCAGATCCAGCGGAAGAAATCTCCTTCATACGGTCTACAGTAACGTCCATTTCCTTTATGATATCCTTTACGGCTTTAGTTTGAGCTGGCCGGATACCGTCTACATCAAGTGTCATAAGTGATGCCTTAAAGTCGATCTGAGACATCATAGTCTTTGCTGACTTCCATGAAACATCCTTGATGCCTTTAATAACACAGACACATTCACAGACCTTTTGAACTTCCTTGGGTGGTTTAGCAAACGATCTGATTTCTGTGATTTCGGATGACGACAAGTTGGCCAATGCTAGACGAGCAGCTTCTAGAGCAGGAAGTGCTTCTGACAAGGCGATTTCAGCTTCAGCCTTATCTTGAGCGATCTGCAGATTTTGCGTTTCAAGTTCACCAGCTTTCCTGTCAGCTAGCTCTTTCTTCTCTTCAGCTTCCTTGGTGTTGGCTACGATGACTTCGAGCAATTTATTACAAGCCTCTGTTTTATTTTTGACTGCGATGTTTTGTTCAGCTAGCTGTACATTCAACACAGCGAGTTGAGCAGAAGATTCTTCCAACTTGGACAGACCAGACTCAAGACGAGTACAGAGCCTTCCGTTGAGTTCCTGATTCTCTTGGAGCAGACGATTGTACGTGCCTATATAATCTAGGTAACTCTTGGGCGTCACATAATTTGTACGCCTGTATTTCTGCTGGAATTGTGTGCTGAAGTCACCAACAGACAAATGCACACCGACCATGTGCCTGACAATATTTGACTTGTGTTCTGGAACGACGTTCTCATCCTAATATGTAATGATTTTCAGTTTTCAAGGATCTTTGAAATGAATCAACACTCACGATTGCATACCTTTAGGAACGCCTCAGAAACAGACAACAAAGCCTCTTCGGGCCATGGAGGGAACCAGTCAATCATTGTACAGTTTACAAGACCAGGGAAGCTTCTACATCGGTCTCGAAGCTTGTCACCTTGAGGAGACATGGCAAGGACAATGTGTAGATTATCACAACACTTTTCTATAAAGAAGTTCCACACATTTTCTCGACTTTGCACTATGCCGTGAGCAGCGACTTCATCTCGAATGGAGCTCATTATGACTTCCTTCTCGTCATCCTCATACAAGGCGGGCACCATACCGGTCGTGAGCATATTATTTATGGATTCAAGGAAGGATTCCTTGGCGACGTGGGCATCAGTAAACAAGAAGACAGTCTTTTTGCCCGAGCCAAGCTGAGAATACAAGAGTTTGAGTGACTCTCGGAATTCCAGCTCGCCATAGCCTCGAGTCAGTGTTATTTCAAAGACTGTGTACCCAGCTGTAAAGGCTGCTAGTTTGGTCAAAGACTGTTTTCCACTACCAGCAACACCAATCAGAAGTGCATGGCCTCTTGGCATTCTTATGACCCTTTGGATACGAGTCAGATGGTCTAGGGCATCTTCAAAGAGTACAAGGTTCATACGGTTGAATTTCTCATTGTACTCTTCCAAAATTTCCTGATATATAGACCTGACTGCTGTAAAGTCGAGAAGATCCTCATACAGTTTTGCACTATCTTCTTGCATGGCATGTCGGAAATCACCAAACAAGATTGGGTTTCTGTTTACGTATGCTACGTCACTACTAAAGGTCTGGTCTACCAATCCGTCTATGAGCTTCTTTACATATGTGCGATCTGCATCAGTGACCAGACGGTCATAAAACACTCTCATAGCCTCATTTCTCCACAAACGAGCCATTTGAGGGCCAGTTTCGAAGTGATCTGGTGTTGCAGCACACAGGCCTTCGTATACACGTGAGATATCACGTAAATTAAAGATATAGTGGAATTTAGAAGGAGTCGGTAGGAGATTCTTTGAAATCTCAGTGTACAGCTTCAACGTCAACTTCGTGAGCTTCTCCGATGTGGTACGAACAGCATCAGCGAATGCGGAAGTATGTCCCTATTTGATTTCCAGTGTTAGCAAATTTAATGTCAACTATTTAATTACCTGCAACTTACCAAGAGGATACCGGAGTAAATCTGCAGTAGCGACGTCTCCGTTGGGAAAGTGACATTGAATACATTGAACAATGCCACGAATCGTGGATCTACGTCATTACGGCCACCACCGGGGGTTCCCATGGCAGAAATGAATTGGACGTCCTTCAGATATTTCCAATTTAATTCTTTACCACGATCGTATAGACCACCACGCTCAATCAGCAATTTGAGAAGGGCGATGGGCTGTTGAGTACCATACGTATCCTTGGATGGCATATTCAAGTCATCCACAAACACGACAAGCCTCTTGCCTGCTGTTGGTCCATACGTATCCTTGGTACGTTTCTCGACGTTGATTTCCAAATTCTTTTGGACTGTCATTGAGCTCGTACGACTGGAGAAGTTTATATTTAGAAGGAGATGGCGATCTGCTGGTAGTTGACGTAGATAGTTTAGGGCAGTGACAGTCTTGGAGGTTCCTACATCACCCACAAACAGCACTGGCTTCTTTGCAGTGACTAGTTTCTCCAAAAGCCAAGTGTGACGGACTGTCTCCATAGTCGGGACTAATATTTTATGGAAGGGTATTGCTTTACTATGCTCATACTTGGGCACAAACTTCTTCCATGGAGACCACTGCTTTTGGGTGGCATCAAAAAACCATTCATATAGGTTCCCATCAGATGGTAGACCGCCAACTAGGACAGTCTCCCCTGCTTGGACATTCGACTCTGATAGCTTCTTCACTACTTCAGAAAATGCTGGGCGATCTGATTCCAAAATAGTGGCACCAATCGACCAGATGACACTCTGAATGAATACAGCTTCCATCAAGTTTTCTGGTGTGGCAGGCTGCTTGGCATCATTCTCGGGCAGTTGGCAATCAACCAAATTTGCTAATTGCGAAACCATGCCCAGAGCATTGATACGAATGACCTGTTGGGCGAAAAGAAAAAATGAGACCAACCTCGACTCGACTATGTATCTGACACAGATATCAAATCTCTTACTTGAGTCAGACGGTTGCCAAGTGATGAGCCCTCAAGCACCATCTCGATCAGAGGTGTCACATATTTTGTAAAGTACTTGAGCAAGATTAAAGAATCTGGTCCAGCATGTTTGGTATTGCACCATTTTTGATAGAATGGTTGGAATCCAAGATTTTTGGGATCCATATACACCATACCACAACGTGAGACGGTAGCGGGAGATGCGTATTGCAAATCACCAACCTATGCATTATATAGATATCTTTAGACCTTTTTTCAACGCCTCAGAAACCATAGACTCATACCTCAAACAGCAGTGCAACATGTTTTTGTAATCGTATACGTTCACCGTTGGGCAAAGTGAGCAGCCTGTTATCATCCATGACAGAGTTCATGTTCTCAACCCAAACAGCATCAACATCTCCATCGAAAACGATATATTTACGCTCCTTTTTATCAGATGGGCGATTGAGTTCACGGAAGATGTTTGACAAGAGACCATCAGTCCAGTCACGAGTAACAGGATCCAACAATCCATATAGCTCGGATACTGTCACGGCCTTGGGATTCAGTACGAATAGACGTGTAGTCAAGCCAAGCTTGGTCTGAGCTCTTGATAATGTATCAATGACGACAGTCTTTCCACCACCAGTAGGACCAACTACCATCGTCGTGTGTCGTGTCAACATGGTCTCGTACAATTGGACGACCTTGTCAACCTGTTTGAAACAAATAAGACTGTGAGCAAATTCTATGCATTGCCTGAACTCTTCTTTTTTGCATACCTGATCAGGAAGACTAACGAATTCTAACTCTTGCAACACATTCTCGACGGCATCATTAAAGTTGGGGTATCGTACACGTGGACAATCAAGTCCGGGGAATAAGTCCGATATTAAACCAAGGAAGAGCGGTACATCCTCAAACACGAACTTTGGCAAGTTCATGTCTCGTAGAGCACGCATGAGCACCACGTCTTCGTTGAGATCTGGTGCTCCTCGTTTCAAGCTTCCAGCCATGACCAACACAGACTTCAAAGCCCTACATTGTTTGCGTGTGAGACGCAAATGCTGAGAAAAAGGTTAACACAAAGTCAACCTTACCTAAGACCAAAATCGTAGTGATATTGCTTTGACAATTGACCACGAGCCAATTTGTACAAGACCACCATCTTCTTCGCCAAAGACTTGGCAGCTGTAAACCCTTCAGAAAACAGCATGATTTCACAAATCAATTCTAAATCAGGGACAGCCATAACCACTGGTCGGAAGAGTGCCTTTAAATTATCAGGAAGTTCGGTACGTCCAGCATATCCAGGATTCATGGTAATAAAGATACCCATTTTACGATCCAGACTAATTTCAGCTCCGTCAAACTGGAAGCGTTTTAGACCCATTATCATGGCGTTTTGAATGGTACGAATTTGAGCAGAGATGACAGACAATACAGGAAGGTCGATACGGTTGAATTCATCGAAACAACCCCATGCTCCCGTTTGTACTAGACCAGAGAATATCTTGCCCATGGCCTGATAGTCCATACCCTCACCACAATTCGTTACCATACATAACAGACCCAAAGCTTTGGCCAAGTCCTTCACTGTCTCGGTTTTGCCTGTTCCAGCGGGACCTGCAGGAGCACCACCAAGCTTCATTGAGAGCGCTTGAGTCAGGGTGAGATAACATCGATCCGTTAAAGGCGTTATGACTAGACGACCGTTCAGACCCATATACTCGTATCCATAATCAAAGACACCATTACATTGTTTGACTATTAATTCATCAGTGACACGATCCCAATAAAATCGTAACTGTGATTCCCATTCGAATTCACCCTCATCCGTTATAGAGTCTCGTACGAATCGGTCAATGATGTCACGAGCATGGACATCCACGATGATTTGTGTGTTGACCTTCTTACGCTCATTCGTTGATAGATCTGAGCGCACTTCGACTACAAGGCGAACAAGTTGGTCACCGAGCATCTTGGAATATCTTTTCATGGCCAGTTTGTCTCCCTGTTTTATTTTACGAAAGACATCTTCTACTTCCCAAGTCCACCAAACTTGAGAGGAGGCCAGAGACACCATCCCTTGGTAATTAGCCAACCAAGCGAGACGATCCATTTCTGGGTATTTGAAGACTGCTTCTTTATGTATAGCTCGATTCGTCTTTTTCATTTGCTGCTCGACAGCTCCCATCCATTCTTCGACTCGACCTTCTACCATAGTGGGAGTCCTGAATTCTAAAAGTTCACCTTCTGAAGAGGCCATACCAATAACTGCCTTTTCTAATTTACCCGTACCAAAGGACAATTTGAGCACGTTATCAAACATTTTGATAATATGTTCTTGCACATTCTTTGGATCATGACTACCAAGAATAGACAGCAATTCTTCATCAGATATGAAGAAGAACCGAGGGAAGGCATTTCGTTTACTTTCTAGATAATCAGATAGCGATTTCTGACAAGCTTCCAAGTCACCGGCCAAAGTACGTAGTGTTTGAAGACGACCTTCAGCAGAAGCAGCTTCAACTACTACTGGGTGCTTGGCAGTCTCCACCATAATCTTTTTAAAAGATCGATCTATACGGTCAAAGCGAGCAGCTTCTTCCGGAAGTTGCTGTCTAATATCTCCTGACCCAATAAAAATGGACTCGAGATACATCCATTTACGTTGGACTACCATCCAAACTTCCAAGACTTCGCCAATTACAGAAAGTGTCTTTTCCCAGTGCTGGACTTGATCTAAAAAGGCGGTAACGAATCGAGAAGCACTCATAGATTGTAGTGCCATAGCATTATCATCCAAGGCCGTGAGAATTTCATCAATAGCACCAAGAATCCAACCACGATCTTCCGTGCCTTTTGCATATTTGACGACGGTGAATTTGGTATCGTGCCATATATTTTCTATCTCGCGAAGACCTGCAAAAAAGTAATAAGGAACGCGAAGGACAAAAAAAAAAACAAAAAAGCAGAGTGTTTACCGTTCTCAATGCTAAGTTCCTTATTAGCTCCAGATACAATTTCACCAATCTCAGCGGCATGTGCAGCAAGATTCATAGCAAACAGCTTTTCCAGAGTGAATGTATCAGCCGACATATCAAATGGATGGCCAGTGACTTCCATCAGTTTACGCCAATGTCTTTCTCGAAGAGCTTCACTCTTCAATTCTTGCAAAAGCGGCACCGAGTCTTTAAAAGTCATTATTTGATTGGCTACTACGTTATATGGTGGCAGCTGTTTGAGTGATGATGCCATTTTACGTAGACGGGTCGAGAAGACATCAATCCCTTTATTCAACACCGTCACGTCCAAGGCTGACCATAGACCAGTCGACCATTGCTTCATGGCATCTCGTACTTCCACATACAAGTCGTAGACTTTGTCCAAGTCCTTCAACTCGGTGTCAAGCTCAAACAGTTCAGGGTATGCTGTTATAGGAAGATCAAAGAGCTTTTCGGCTCGTACGAGAGCTTCACGTCTACTAGTCAAAGCACCAACAGCAGTCTTGGCTTCACCCAACAATTTAAGACCAGATTCCATGTCTTTGTCAATAGTGCCTGGCCCAGATATAAGGAATTCTTCACGGTATCGACGAATCTCTTGCCTGAATTCCGTCACTTCAGCAACCGTCGATTGAGTGAATTGCTGCTTGATGGGAACCAAGGTAGTCTCTAGCTCTGCTGCACTCTTTAGTGCTTCTTGCCATTTGGATGGGAAGGTCTGTACAGCTTCTAGCTCTGCTGGATCTATTTGGATTGAATACATGGCCAAAGTTCGATAGGCTTCAGTGACTTCAGAGTATTTAGCTTCAATATCACCAGAAGCGTTTCGTAGCTCAGCGATGGCGTTCAACACGAATGTTAAATCATCAAGAGTAGTTGGCCTACGTTGCAAATCTTCATTTGCTTTAGATATCAAACCTTCTAGATCATCTAAGCCCCCTTTCGCCATCATATTCAAATGTTTTCCTAGAGTTTCGAATTTAAACGTTAAGCGCTGGTCAAAAAAATGAAGAGATTGCAAATTCTACATACCAATAGAAAACACCCAAGTGGTTGCTTCATTATGAATCGCCTGCTGGAGTGGGACACACATGATACGAATAAAGTCGAGATCTTTAAACGTAGGCTGAACTTCCAAGTCCTTTGCCAATCTTGAGTAGAAGACTAGCTTGTCGTCAAAGCTGACAATGGACGGCTTCTTTTGAGCAAACTTTTCCAATGTGACCACCTAAATAATCCAAAAATTGGTATTGCATTCGATTAACAACAATAAAAGGGGAAGACACGTTTACCTTATCAACCTTCCATAAAGGCCGATATTTACGCCAACTATCCAACCATTTACTCAGACCTCCGAAAGTCCTTTGGATTTCTTGGTTGAGACCGTTTACAGCATACCCGATATGCGTAGATGCCATCACGTCTGGATGGAAACTAAACACGACCGCGTCTTCATCTTCACCGAGTTGTTGTGGAGGACACAATATGCATGTTCCATTCTGCCACCTGTGAAATTGTCGTGTGGCATCAATTACCGACCGAACCAATCTTGTCACTGATCGATGTATTTCGGCCGAGAGTGGCGAAACTACAATTTCTGGCGCTGATAGAGATGCCTGGACTTTGAAAAGTGGTGGCTTCTTGGTTGGTGCTGTGCTAAAGGCGCCTTTGCCCTTGACTATCTTCTTGGAGACTTCTCGACACAACATAGACTGAAGGTACGTAATGTTGTTGAAGACCATCTACACAGACAACGTTTGTGAAATCATCGCCAAAAAGCGCAAAACAGCAGACGGCGTCAGTGCTTACAGCAGTGAGAGCCACAAAGATTCGACGCTCCCAAAAAGCATAATAGTCTTTGAGAGCTTTACTCCTTCCACTGTTGGTACCAGCGACAAGTGATTCCATTTTAACAAGCAAAGGACCAATGCTCTTATATTTGTTGACAATGGTGGTAAGAGAGGTAGTGCGATGTCGATTCTCGAAATCAAAGAATTCCTATCGAACGGGAGAAAAAAAAAGCTGAGCTTGATTCATGATATTACTTACGAATTTATCAAGTCCATACATGAGCATCCATAATATCTTCTGGAGGTGGTTCACGAACGAGCATTGTGTGGGTAATCATATCTACAATCTGCGATATGTTACCAGAATTCTTTCGAATTTGGTTGACAATCGATGAAAACTTGTTGATTTCCTAACAAAATATTCAAAAACGTATTAGAATCAGCACGGCAAAAAGATCGTCCTCACAAGTACTTTACGTACCACACTGCAGCGTGAGATAAAGTCAGGAATGCCCAGCGAATTCCAATTCAACCTGGTCATGCCAGGATTCAATGCACGTTTCAATTCTTGAATGTGATTTTGCAGCAATCGACGTTCAGCAGTATCCAATACATCAATAACTGAGTGGTAGGCAGTGAGCATAGCGGACAAGGACTCGACATAGTTGTGATATTTCTCTTCCTGTTATAAGCAAAAGCAAAAAAAAGGATTTCAGAATCGGATGGGATGACAAGGTCAACCGTCGAGTACAATACCTGAAGTGCTACATTCATGGCAGCCTCCGGAACCTCAAAGCCCATACGATCTAAACACTTAGTTTCACGAATCATTTCGCGCAATTCGGGTTGGAAATTGACTCGTAAGTGTTCTGTGAGTCCACCGTCTTGAGGCGTTGATGCGTGAATAGCAGCACTGGTGGGTGGTGCAACTTTGGCAAGAACGTGAGACTTGAGGTAATGTAATGACATGGTTTCAACATTCTGAGTCCATTCAGCGTAGAGCTAGAAAAAGCATACGTCAGCATTACATCGTACAAGCCCTCATTTTTTCGTCTTATTCCGTACTCTTTTTTCATAGGCTCGCATCTCATTAGCCACCATTTTGTAATTGCGAGTGGCCTCTTGACCTTGTTCACTGGTCAGCATTTCTGAGGTAGGCCAGGAGTCAGTAAGATTGTGCTATATCGATTATGTGTCACTTTCTTAGGCTTTCGTACCTTGCAAAGACTGGAAGCGAACAATGGTCTTTTTGATCCGCCCAAACAAGGAACGTGACCATGCAATAGCTCCAGCTACACGAGGTTGATTCTTGGCAATAGGAGGATCATCACTACAAAAAAGGGTTCACATTAGCTCGTATGCGCTATTGCACAAAGAAAAAGGTGGTATGGTTTACCAATTCTTCCTGAAGATTTCTCCAATAGCGTCCACTTCTCGACTATATTGATCCAGAATCTCATACCACTTGGTCATGAGTTGACGGTTGATGCTCTCTCGAGACTTGACGGATCGTACGTTTTGTAGCAAGTCAAATGCACCTTCAGCAGATCTCAGCTTTTTGAAGGATGCATCCAAAAATGATCTAGCCATTTCTTCGATCTGAGCCGTTTGTTCACGGAATCGTTGCATCAGAGAATCCCAGAATGATTGATTTCTATTGATTTGGGTTAGTGTCGAGTGACAACAAAAAATGCTGGAAAATCATCTTCCTAAATACCTGCGATTCCAGATGTCAAATGTAATAGACTCAAATGGCCCAGATAGAGCTTCTACACGTTTAACAACCTCGTCAATTTGAGTTGGATCTCCTGTGACGGCTTTCAATTCAGCTCCAAATATGGATTGGAATTGTTCCATGACTTCTGCTACTTCTTGCAAGTCAGCACAACGAGATGCCATGAGATTTGTCTGATCAAAGAGACGACGACGATCAAATTCCCAACGTTGATCACGCCCAGAGGCCTCAATACGTTCTCGAGTTTGGAAGTAGGACTACCGTAAGTTGCGTCAGCAAAAAAACCGACCAAGAATAACCTCATTCGCTGAACGCAAACAATACCTTGCTCCACATCTCAAGCAAACTTTTAGCTTCTGATATCTTACGACGAGCTTCTGCTGGAGGCTCTCGTAATATGGTTCGCACATCTACTACACCAGCAACTTTATGCGCAAGCTCCCAAGCAATACGGGCCATCAACGGTACCATTCTTTCGTCACGGTTGTAGTGACGAGAAATGATCCAAACCATTCGTATGGCATTCATGAGCGAAGGAAGTGATTCCTGTCGTGTTAGTCGTGAGCGATTGGAACTACGTATACTTTTCGTTTTTCTCGCACTTACCTGAACACTTTGAAGACTTCCGACAACAATATTCTTAAAGTGTCGTTCCAGGGTGCCCAAAAAGCGAACATTATCTCTAGCCTCTGCACAATTCTTGTTCAATTCACCCAATTGAAATTCAAGTACACCGAGTACAGGTACTCCCGCTTTAACCAACACTTGCTGAATAGCTCTGACTTCAGGCGACGAGAGCTGCTCAAACAAGGTACATAAGTTCACTGATCGAGTTCTCCAATATTCGATTTCAGCCAGAGCACCCTCACCAACAGGTTGCTTTTCTGATTCTTTGGCAAGAGTGGTGACTATAGCTTCAACCCATTCATCAGCTAAATGTTCTAATTCTCGGACCATGGAGGCGTCACGAGCAGCTTCCGATACGTCGGTTATACGAATCTTTTCTGGAATCCGTAGCCTATTTTCTCCAGCTAGATGCTGATGTGTATGAGCTACATGAGCAGCAAATTTTTGGACAGAAAGTGCCAATTCAGCACGTCCTGTAACTGCTGCGGATTCAGCAGCTGTAGATGGTGGTTGACCCGCTCGAGAAGATGTAAATGCAGAGGTGGTTTCAGTTAAGAGTGGGAGATACACCTCTGATAGCATTCGTTCCAAAGCGTTGAGAGCTCGGCCTGACATGTAGCCGACTTGTAGCCATTCCAGCATTTGCTCTGATTCTAATGTGATTCGGGAGTGAGAATCAATGGTATGATTGCGTCGATATTGAGCATACCTTGACCAGGGTGCGGCATAGGTATAACACCGGGCTTTTCTCTCATAAAGTACACGGCGTCCACATCAGCAATGTCCTCGGGTAGTTTCTGGAAGCCGACATGTATTATATGTTCCGTCTTCATGGCAATGTTTGTGGTTGATGAAATAATGATCTATGTTGTTTCTTGATAAGTTCTCGGTAGCCGCGAATTCGGACACAATTTCAAATGCAATTACCGATCCAGATATCGAAACCTGACGAGCTTCAGATATGCTGGCACCATTCTCTGAGTCAGAATTACCCATATTCGACGTTTTTGTCACATCTTCAGCAGCTGACACGTCCAACTTCGGGGCAGATCCACTATCTGACTCGGTCGGTACATTTTGTGGTACTGCAACAGGGGGTACGGATTGCATTGAAGGTGCCTTTGGCAGGGCTGGTAGATTTGATGGTGTAGATGGTTTGGAAGTTTTAATGCTGTCTGTTGCAGACGGGGTTCCAAGCAGCTGCGAAGTGGCTGTTGTATTTGCAATAGTAGCCGGAATTCCGAGTGCATTCGACTCGTCGATTTTTGGGTGTATTATTGGAGTATGGACGACTTCAGCCCATACGAGCATGACAGAAGGGATTGTACCATCTTGATCAGGCTTGTCGTCAATGAAATTAATTACGTGCTCGAGAGTACGACCACTGTCTCGTTCCAAGCAGGATTTGATCAAAGTGGTTGATGTGTCTGATGTATCGTTGATCTCGAGCATTAGACCGGACAGAGCCTTCCTGCATATCCATTGTATTCTAGGATCTTTGCTGATGACGTCTGCCATGGTAAGCAAACTATCAATCAATGTCCGTTCTTGTCTTTACACAGATTTCAACTTTTCAATGGCTATACAAGATCTGTTAGTAAAACTTAAATCGTCGAGAGTAGGTGATTTCTTACATAAATGAATTTACAAATGAATGGCCGTTCTCTTCAGTCCACTCTGTAGTGTAATTGTGGTTTGCCCTCTGCCACGAGAACTTTGCATAAATTCAACGGTGAAGTCGCTAGCAGAACTGAGCGTGACGGGGAAGACTGGAACGAAGCGGAAGTAGACTCTTTTGGTGAAAAAAGTGGGTATGAAATGTAGGAACTACGCGGATCTGTCCTAGTTTTGACACGATTCGTTATAGAGTACAATACGTCCTAATGGCGGAACCAACCAATGAGGAGCTAGACCTACTAGATTCAGGGCCTCAAGGCACTAATCTGATGTTTGAAGAGCCAATAGACGAGAATGACCAACAAGAATTCGAGCCATTCCCAGAAATTCAACACGATGTGGAGATTGACGATGTGGAGCTAGAAGGCCCTGACGAGGAGGAAGGCCATGAGGCTGATTATGCTGAGCAATCCGAAATACAAGATCAGCCCGATGACGACCAGGCGTACTCTGTCGCTGAACTGGAAGCTGACACTTTGGATGCCATCTCCAGCAAACCAACAGAAGCCTTTGACGAATCTGACCTATTTCCTGGGTGGAGCTTTCCCACAGACAAGGTTAATACCAATGAGCCTGTTTCAGTGCCAATAGAGCTAGTATCAACATCCGGGACAGGCAAAGCTAAACAGCTCAAGTACAGCATGAAGAGGGATATTGCAAAGACGGCTGATGCCCTTCTAGAAGCAGCCGCTGATATCGAGGCTATTAATTATGATATCAAGTGTGTCAAGGTGAGGTTTATCACTGCCCAGAAGTTGGTTTGGAAAGGTTGACTTGACATTCTGTGAATAACACTCTTACCCCTTAGGTCTTACGGCAACGAGAAGTTCGCTCCATACCAGCATTACGAAATAAAACGTCTGAACTCAAGCAAGAACTGGAACGTCTCTTTGCATCAGCGTCGTCCTCAGCTCGCCAAAAAGACGCAGACAAGATTACCATTGTCACTGCACGCCAAAAGTACAAGGCTTCGTGCAGTGAATACGAGAAATGCATCGACACTATAGCTGATTGTGATTCCATTGTTGAGAGATTAGAGGGTACTCTGGGAACTGTGCAATTAAGAATGGACGCTCTACAAGCTCAAAATACAGATTTAAGGTCCCTGTCCAAGGTTATTGATGCCTCAGACAAGATTCATAGAGACCAGATTACTCGAGAACGAGAAGAACGTGCTACACTAGCTTCGCAGACCGCACGACCTATTGATGCAAGATTTGCTAGCAAGCAACTGATTAGCAAACCAAGTCTGTCGGAAAGTGAAAAACAAGAGATGGAGGCTCAAAGAGCCAAGGCCATAAGAGAACGATGCAATGCCGCAGTCACCAGAGTAAACTTCTTCTCCTTTTCTAACATTTGTTTCTCGTCCTAACATTCATTGTCTGACTAGATTAAGAGGACGAAAGCCGAAATGGAGCAGCAATCCCTTCTTGCTGCAAAGAAACGAGAGGATGCTCTGAAGAAAATATCTCAAGAAATGCGGCAGATAAGAAAATTCACAAAGGCCATTGAAGTCAATTCGAAAACATCACCATCCTCCTTGACTTTGCCCGCACCAAATGCAACAGCAAACATATTGCCGAATCCGAAAACAGATATAACAACTTCAGAACAACGTAAAATGGCCATTTTGCAGAAACTGATGCGTGAAGAAGCCATTATGAACAAACGACGAGTGTCATCCTATCCAGCTGCAGCTACCAAGAGATCCCAACCAGCACCATCACCATTAAAACCTGCTCTCCGACTATCCAAAGAAAGCATATTGTACCCTACAACTGCACTAGGTAGCTCATGTACCAAGAGTCTGGATATAATACTAGACGTCGAAGACCACGACATTAGATTTCCATGGGTCAAGACTTCGAACAGGCCTGGGCAGGTCGATGATGACGACCAAGACGAAGTGCGGTTCGAGTTCGAAACACCTAAACTCGTCAATCTCGAAGTTTATGAGGTCGGGACAGATACGTGGGTGTCGATGTTGGGTGTCCATAGTTATATTGCTGTGCCTACAGAGCCATCTTCTCCAACCAGCAATTTGGCTTTAACGAGCCCTGGAGCTTCGGAAACGCCAACAACAGTATCACCCATCACACCAGAAGCTAAACCATCTTCAGCTGGTAAAGACAAGACCGTATCACAGGACCCTATCTCACCAATAGCTAGGCCATCATCAGGTCGCATTGTTCAACCATGGACATGGCTAGAACGGTTCCCTCCGCCTTTCCAATTCTACCCAGTAAACAATATATTGAAACCTGGACATCAACGACATATAGACGTAGTTTTGAGTATACCGACACCCACAACCAGCACCATATCAGGTCTGCCGTTACCTCTATGTGGTGGCGGTGAGGATCCTTCGTCAGGACCGAATAGTAGGATTGCTTCAGCAGCTCCTCAATCTGAAGATGGTAACAAGCCACCATCAGCGAAAAAGAAAAAGGCACCACTAGGCAAGGACCAGTTATCAGCTGCAACAGCCACTCCGGCACTCTCAGCAATAGATCCGTTGGGAGATCCACCAGAAGTATCCGAACAAAAGGATTGGATCAAACGATTATCGGTTTTCAAAGAATCTCGAATGACCTGGGAGATTCCTTGCCGTATCACTGAAGCGGCTGCACCATCAGCCAGGCTATCTGCCTTGATTGCTGGAATGAATGCTACCGCTACTGTATCAAAACAAAGGCTGGCTGATTCTCCTAGTCGTAAAATTCGACCTGACCTGTTACTTACAACTCAAGTCCACGTCGTCCGACCTGATATTGTCTTGTTCGCACCTACTTCTGGAGTAATCAACTTTGGAGAGGTGCCAGTTAATGAGACACTTTGCAAGAAACTGACGGTTCAAGTCTTGCAACCAGCACAACCACGATATAGATTCGATAAGAGTGATGGATGTTTTGGAGTGGATTCATCCGATAATAGCACAGATGCAGATATGTGGGCAAAACCGGGGATTATAGAACTTTCGTTAACCTATCAGCCCACCTTCCTTGGTACTCATCGGGCTATATTCGGTCTGCATACACCTACCACTCAACTATTAGTGCACCTCGTTGGAGTTGGTGTATCCCCATGTGTAGAATTAGAACCTCTAAGCATCACCGATGATGCTAAATTCATTGGAGACGCCATGATTGGAAACTCGTGTAATGCTACAGTATTGAGTCTCAGCAATACTGGATCTGTAGCTGCTAAGGTCAAGTTGTCCATGGCACAACCGGCCGAAAAGCGAGAACAAGAATGTCAACCCCTTGTAAATCCAGCATTCACTCTTATCACACCTTCTGAGCCCACATTCTTAGCCCCTGCCAAGAAAATGGATGTAGTAGTTGCGTTTGAAGCTCCTACTGGTGGATGTGATCAGGACTGTAGTGCTGAATTGATTGTGGATGTGTGGGGACAGAAACGACCTTATCTTGTTAAAGTATGGGGACGAGCATGGTCTACTAGCGGTGCATTGCAAGGAGTAGAAAGTCAAGTTGTTGTCGAAGAAACCAAGCAGCCGGAACTCGTAGGCTCCGGCGAGACTCCCGCCGAGACTAGTAATCCGCCCCTTCCAATAGCTACCACCACAACAAGCAGCAAAACCATGCTTGTAAGACTACCATGGATTCAAGACACAAGCGACTCGACATGGAAGATCCAATCCAAAGTAATCAGCATTCTAAATCTCAAGCCCAATGAAGTCAAACTTGAAGGACAAGTGCCAAGTGGAAAGAAGATTGCTCCCGCAAAACCACTCGAATATACCATTGAAGCCGAAAGACCATCATCGCCATCGAGCCCACCCGAAAAAGCAGTTTTCTCCTTCGATTCAACGTCTGGTAGTGTTGATCAGGGATCTAAAAAGGAAATAATAATCACTCTTCGTATGGACGGGCCTGGTAGTAACAGTAATCTCGATGCACTGACGGCTGCAGCTGCAACCAAGCCATCACGTGCTCCTACACCTAGCAAAAAGAAGGGAGCTGCTGACAAGGCTAAAGTAGATGCGAATTCCGATAATGCTGCTAGTTTGCAACCACCTACAGTAACGTTTACGGCACCAATACCATGTGATACCAAGTACAAGATTGTAGTTAGAGGTGCTTTAGGAGGTGAACCCGGTGTGATTGCTCCAGACCAGATTTGGAATCTTCACGTCATTACTGAAATGCCTGCGGCGGCAGTAAAGACTGAACGCGGAGAGAGACTATCCATATCGAACATAGAAACTGCTCAATAAATCTTTATGTACTGAAATCAGTTTATATGATACACGACACCACCTATACAAACTAGAGTTTTTGAATTGACTCAACTATGCTCTGCGTCCTAGCGCTCCAGCTCGACGACCATAGCCCTTGCAAGGTTCCTGGCTAGAGCGGCTCTTATGACATCCAAATTCGCCGACGACAATCCTCGTTTCCCTCCATATGCATGTCCTTCTTGGCCATACATTCCCAGATACTCGGCACTCTTGTGGGATGTGCAAATATATTGCAAACATCGCATGAGCTCATAAGTATCAGCAACTCCAAATACAACTTGCGTGCCCTCCAGCATTGGCAAAGCATCTAGCAATAGCATACCCCAAAAGGAATGAGGAGCAATCCCGCTAGTCATCAATAAAATAATCTTTGATGCAGCTTTATAATGGTCTCCTGTTTTATACCATTCTCGGACTTGTTGATAGGCGTTGAAGAATTCTATGGCCGGTATATCGGTTTTTACAGTTACAAGTCCATCAACCAGTATTCCTGTTTTATGACATTCACTCATGGCTGCGTTGACTAGAACTGCAGCGCGGTGTGGTTCTCCGGCGAGGGCGTAATGAGTCAAGGCTTGGACTAGATGTCCACGGTGTAGTTCAACTTGGGCCATGATTCGATGTACTTCCTTCTCGACCAAGTCTAATTTATGTTTATGGGCTAGTTTTAATATCCTCTCTACTTGTGCTGGTGATGATGATGGTGAATGGTGCAAGATGGTTTCAATCATATATGGTAGACCGATAGTTGGACAATACGACAAGTATTCGACCCCCATGACGAACAACTCTGGATGAGGTAGCAGCTGCTCGGCATAGTTGAGTATCGTCCATTCTCTCATATTTGAGCGTTGTGAAGCAGCAGCAAACTGCAGGAAAGTAAGCGTGTTAGACATCCATACATTGGGTCTAAACACAAAAGCCCGCTTACCTTGTCTTCTTCCCATAACGTTGATAGCGTAGACTCAGCCAATAAACCTCGACTGCTCAAATCACCGAAGGTGCGATTACCATTATTACTACCACCTATTCTAATTGATTTGCCATATCGATCTAGCACATCAAATAGATGTGTCACGAGCCAGAAATCTATATGTGCACAATGGCGTCTAGCAGCCATCATATCCTGATGAATGAATGCCACCAGTGCAGCATCCAGTGGTTCTGACTTGTCTATTATATAGTTGAGTGGGAATAGAAGCTCAGAGAGCTCGGTAGCTTTAATTGACGGTCGAGAATACATGGCTAGAGCCACAAGACCCTCTCGCCAATCAGCACTCTTCTCTATAATAGTCTTTTCATCACCACTCAATATTTTGAAGAGTACCTTAAAGCCTTCAACATCCTGTGTTCGAGTGCCTAGTTTGTCTACAAGTGCATTGGAAGCTAGAGCAGACAAGCATGATTCTCGAATGGCTTCAAATCGTTCGTCTACTTCGATAATCGACATCTTACTAGTGACTTGTCGTACTATCTGTTTCACTCTATTCACAGGCCCCTTTGGCGAGTCCTTATAATATGGCAATCGTTCCAGCAGCGCTACAGCTATAGTATGCATCCCTCGTAGCGTACATTGATGCACGTATTGCCAAAAGCTCTTGTTTGCTGCAAGTGCTTCTCCAGGCAAATCATTCAATGCCGAAGCGACTTTAGGAGATGGACCTCGATAGTTGGTATTCAGCCATGATTGCAATACTGTGGATATAGGTATCATATCGTCCAGATTCATATATATGATTTCACACAACTCCCATATAGAATGCATTGATTGGAATACTTCGACCTCGGATTCATGCGTGTCCCTATCTAGTGATTTTATATGATGTTTGAGCTCTGTTCTGTATAATGAGCTGACAGTGACGATGTGCTCGGCAGTCACTCTCGATGCATATGCCACATCATTATCGTCAACCCCACCATACAACCCACTAGCATCATCATCGTCTTCCACATCCATCATCATCGTAGAATGCGAATTATTGCTGCTTCTCGTTGGGTTGGTAGCCAATATCGTTGGATTTTGCAGCGTGGCATAAATCTCAAACGTGCGTTCCACGAACAGTTTGCGTGTTTCGTTGAATGGTTTTAATGCTACTACAGTTACTTGTTGGTCCTGTGCGTGCTTTACGTGTGCTCGTTGTCTGGAAGTTTGGTCGAGATGTTCGATTGGCAATCTCGCAGCAGGATGCACTGCGATGGAATCACCCCATGGAGCCAGTCGGCCTCGTAATGAGCGATTCAATGCTAAAAGAGATGTACGGACTGTGCCTTCTTTGCATATGCCCTGTGGTAGCATGAGAAATTTAAATGTTGGCAACTTGCTGATGCAAACACGAGCTGATATAACATAGACGTCTTTTGAGCATACCAGTTTCAGTAGTGGTGGAGCCACATTTTCATACGCCTCCCTCACTTCTTCTTCGAGATCCATCTCCATTTTGGCTTGCGTCAAGTTGTGTTTTGCTTGAGCTTCAAATTTCAAGTCGCGTAGATTTTTTTTCCCACTCGCGCTTGAAGCATCCAAGTATGCATATTCTATGTTCTATATATTGTGTTGTGGGGTATCTGTGCATCAGAAAATGTTTACAATATTATTTTGCAAGTAATTATTTGGTATGCGATTGTCTAGACATGACAGAACTGAACTGCAAAGGGTCCAGAGCTCCTACCCAATCTGCAGTCTCCTGTTCATTGCCAGCTTGGAAAAGGTAGCTTCGACTATTCGAATACATGCTAAACGTATTCGAACGCTGCGACAAAAACAGGTGTCAAAGTCAAGACAGACAAAAAAGGCCATCACATAATGCACTTACGTGTAAAAGTTCTTCAATATCAGTATCCCATTGCACGCGTACATCTCTGACAGTGATAATGTTGATTTCGTCCCTGAGAGAATCATCGACATACATAAATAGATACGGTCGTTGTAAGACGAAATACCGACGATTCCATGTAGCATTGGGGTTGAATACAAGTGGCGCTGATGATGACGACGATAAAGTTCCTTTGGCATCATCTGGCGTATGAAGATAGCCTCTATGCGTAACCACGGGACTATGAAAATTGACGATTAGAGCTACATTCGGATGGTAAAACAGTGAGACGCAAGGCTACTCACTTCCGTTGAGGAATAGCCTTGACCTCCATAGCCCACGTGGCTCCCACTTCATCACCATCATCACTTCCACTGCCACCAGACTCGATGCCAAGCAGTGTATCATAATATTTCTTAGAAGAGGATCGTACCAATCCCTTCCATAACTCCACAACTCGGCGTTCAATTTCTCCCGAATCATCAGCACTCCATGCCCCAATATTACCACGAGAATTGACCCATTCGCTAGCTTCCAACCACCGACCTCTCCAGACTTCAACATCTCGTTGAAGTAAGGATTTTTCATGGTCCTGGATGTATTTAGCTACTAGTTCACGTCCGCGCGGTGTCCATCCATTCAATACTTCTTCACCACGGACGTATTCGTTGCCTGTATCAAGAGCTCTCCAATATGATGTGCGTGATGGGAGTTGTTTGACCAAGAGTTCGAATAAGGAGGTAGCATGTGTTATTAGGGTTGGAGGAGTTCCACCAACCAATGAGGATATAAAGTTGGAGAGTCGACCCGGGGATAATATAGGCGCTGGTGGCATACGTGGCAAGACCACAAATGAGATTAATGTTGAGAATGAAAGAGTGGAATCAACTGCCCCTCTGCGAAAAAAAACTGTCAACTGAAGAGAGTAAAGACGCAACCTAACATCTTACAGCAACCTTACCCATCAACAACAGCCTCAACCGATAGCGTAGCAAAGACCTTCTTGCCATCCTCAGTCTCTCGATCCGTCTCAGGAGATCCAGATTCCCAAGTAAATACAACATCGACTTGAGCCTTTCCAGCACTCAAATCCTTGGAAGCTTTTTGTCTCGCAATCTCATCATGCCTGATATACACAGTGCGACCACTTCCATTCAAACTATTAACACCATTATTTACATTCGAGATATGACCTTGTATAAGCGATACTACCGAGCTCCTATTATTGGGACCGGCAACGGATGATCGAGCAGATGATGGCGTAGAATGCATTTGGACTACTGAATTACGAGCACTAGGACCTGATGCTGATGATTTGCGCGGTGTATATGCAGATTCAATATAAGCACCACCGATTGATATGCTGGTGATTCGCATAGACGTTATATATTTGGGATCGGAGGAATAGCGGATTCGAAGGGCAATACGTCGTTGTAATCCTTGTCGTAATTGGAAGATGGGTGTAGTTGTTTGAGGAAGTGTGCATTGTATAGGTACATCTCGGAATTCACCATCAGAGCTCAATTCCAAGACTCGGGTTTGCAAGATGGCATCAAGTCTTGTCTTTTTACCTTCTGCAGTTGTTGTTGTGGATTGGAAGGTTGATGTGGAACTACGTCTCAAGTTCGCCACTTGAGTTCGTGAAGAGTTCAGAGAGCTTCCACTGTTTTTAGTACTATTACCAGGTAACGGCATGGATCTAGCAATGACTTCAACAGTCTTCCATACGTTGGGAAGCTCTTGTCGATTATGGCCATTAGATCCGTGTCCCATATATACAATCTTTCCCCGCCCAATACCATCACTACTACCAGACCTACTAGTTATTCGTTCTTGGTCTTGTTTAATCTTCATTTCAGCAGCTCGTTTGCGTATTGTAGCAACAATGCTTGTTGACTGTGCCTCCGCTAATTCAGATTCAATCTCTTCAGGACTCTTGACTACACTGGGTCTTTCAGCATCGGGCAAACGAGGTGACGAGTCAAGACTTTCATTCGACAAAATGTCATCTACCTCAGAGCGGAATCCAAAGACTTCGGCAATAACTTCAGAAACTTCCTTCCTTCTTCTTCCGAACACTTCAATTTCAATTGTCCCTCGTTCTATGATCTGCTTTACATTTTGATCGACCTTGAGACTGATGGTTTGCGAAAAGTTCCATGTTATCGGATAACGGCCAAATCCAATAGCGGGTTCAGTGGAATATATCTTATCCTTTTCTACACTGGCTCCGTTGCTAAACGTACTCAATCGTAACTGAGCATGCACTTGCGTCCAATCAGATTCACTAATTCCAGACAGCTGCGTGATACTGACTTCGAATATTAAATCAGTTCCAATGACCAACTCATCCAAATCGGAATATTGAGATGTCTGTAATGGTAGTAGTCTTGGATTGCCCATAGTGGGTGTCGACACCGAGCCAACTGGTTCAATCTTGAGTTTGAGCCAACCTAAAATATCACCTTCACTGCTAAATACTGACGACACTACTTCTTTACTTGTACGACGAATCAAGTTACGTGCTGATATATATGTGGTTCCTATCTGTGTAAACCATGGTCGAGACTTGCTACCTGGACGTCCACCGAAGACTGCATCTACATCAGTAGGTTTGGTTATCGGTGTGATGGGTGAGTTCAGAGTACCTTCATAGTAATTAAACATGGCACGCATATATGGAAGGCGTTCATTCAGATACGAGAGTGGCCAGACATAAACGCTATACTCACAGGGTGAAGAATGTTGGTAGCGGCTCAGAATAACAAAAAAATATTACTGACGTCTGGAAGCACGGCGTCTTGCTCACCTTTCATGTTTAGCATCCAACACAAGCACTCCAATCCCAACTTGAGACGATCCACCAGTTTCCTCATCCACATTATCATCGTCGTAGCTGGGACTAGTGACATCAGAGACTTCCCAGAAACTAGTCTTTTGTGATAAATGTCCACAGAATGGAGCGTAGGCGACACCGGCAGCCAGTTCAATTGACATGACATTAGCTTCCTTCAAGATCTTCTTCAAACCTTCTAATTGTTTGGAGAAGGAAACCCATCGTCTGCCGCGCCATTTCGTCCCTGCTTTCGTCATCAATTGCAGTTCTTGCTCTGATAGTGCATTGACGTTACTACCATTTATATTATTGGCATTGTTATAAGCAGCACGTAACGAGTCACCAGAGATCTTGCGATATAAAGCTGATCGTTCAGACTCGAGTTTACGTTCTAGAGTTTTCAATCGTTCACTCTCTCGAGCGACTTCCTTCTCCATTCTTGCTATAGCAGACCCACCGACTGTGATCTGTAGACCTCCTACAGTTATGACGGACACGTTCTGTCTAGGCGATGATTTGTTTGATGAAGGACTTCGACCATACGAGTGATCTGATCCTATATTCATGCCAGCTTCCATATCAGCAATATGCGTTCTGGCGAGACTGATCTCTTGCTCCAATTCGGCAATCTTTTGGGCCTGATCGTCCCATTCTTCCTTCTTGATTCTATCCTTTTGTGTTGGTTTGACGGAAGCAGGTTTCTTGAACGGTTCCATGGTTATGTCCGAGCCGCTGCTATATATGGAGCTGGCAGTTTGGGCATCCCATTGTTCACGCTCTTTCACAGCGAAAGACCAGTCCACTACAGAGGAAGACAGGGGAGGCTCTGGTGAAGCATTTCGAGAACCAGCTGACGAGTCTAGTGAAGGTCTCCGAGGGTCTGGCGATGCTGTCCGTATAAGTTGTTGGTGATTCCGATCACGTTGAAGTTCTTGAGGATGATTGAAGCGGAAAATATGATCACCAATAATGATTCTATATGCTGATTTAAGTCGCTAGTGAGAAAAGGAAAGGTAAGCAGCGAGCCAACAAAAAATATGATTCAATAACAGATGCACTCACCTTCTTGCCATCAATTCTCCTCCCGTTTACCAGTACAACAGCACGTTCATTATCAGATGGAGTAACCGTCACTGATCCATCATCATCAGTGGCGAAATGACAATGATCTGGTAGTATGTTATCTCCTGTTAAACCGATATCTGGTGATGGATGTGTTCCTGCTCGCCCGACTCTGGTGATTAAAGGTGAAATTTTGTAGATGAGGCACTCTGACATGAATGGGTCTTCGTTTAGATTGACCAGATGAGGGATGGTTTTGGGAGTATAGACACCTCCTACACCATTAGGCGATGTAACATCCAATACAATACCAAGTTCTTCCAAAGCTACCAGGTTTAAGTAGTTAGTCGTAAAGAAAGAAAAAAGATAGTGCACGTAAAAGTCATACCTCGATCTCTATCATGTTGAATGGTCTCAGTCTTCCTAAGCTTATCTTCATAACTTTCCATCATTTCATCCAACAATTTCTTACTAGCTAGCAACTCATCCTGAACACCCTGTATAGCCTCCTCTCCACCCATCGTCAAATCCACCATGCCTCGTACAGTCTTGGAAGAAGAGTACGAATCTAGCTGACTTCTCAACCGTTCCACTTCTTCTTGTAACTCTCGAATAAACCTGCCATTGGCGTCCTCGTTCACGACAGGCGTGTTGATAACCTTTTTGGCTCGTTCTGCGAACCTAAAATGTTGATATATAAAAATCAAGTCAATTGCTTTATTTCGTTATGAGATAGTGATCAGCAACGAATGGATTTCGTTCAGACCTGAGTGTTGATAAAGTTTCGTTATGGCAGCTATCGGTTGGTGATACTAGAGCCAGTAGTGTTGTTTTAGAGTTGCCTCCAAGACAATCCTTTAGCAACCACGTCAAAACCTATATAAAAAAAACTAAGAACGGTAGCATGTTGGATTTGCCGAGCAGCAGTGCACTTACCGAGTCACGATACGGAATATGCAAACTCGAATTATTAGCCTTTGTACTCCTTTCAGCCAATAGTGATATAACTTTACACAAACTTGTCAGACTCTTATTGATCTGAGAACCTTCTTTGAGTCTCACTCCCGATGTCCCCGACACGTCAGCTCGCTCAGATCCCGCGAGATCCACAAAACACGCTCGAGACAACTTTTCAGTCGTCATTTGCGTGGTGGGATCTACGTGTTTCTGAGTTATGGTAAGGACAAACACAGCATGAGATCGTGATGATGTGTCATTCATGTTGGTAGCAGCTACTGTTCGTGACTTGTTGCCTGCTAGAAGTAACGACAGTGTTTCTGAATGGGATGACACGACGGATTTCGATAGGTCTTCGACGTATGGGCCAAGTGACGGATGTTCTCGTACTCGAAGATTGCCACGATTGTTGGGATTCAGCAAGTCTCGTACTTTTTCATTATAGATTTCCATGTATGATACTTCAAACTAGTATGAGCCAAATGTGGTAAGAATGGATCAAACTTGATATCGAACAGAACGAGACGTATACCTCTCTCCTCCAACTTGACTCTTCTTCTGCGCCCAGTATAGCTTCACACATAAGTCCTACCAGTCCCGTTTCCGTATTGTTTCCCATCATGGTATACGTCTTTCCAGCACCAGTCTGACCATATGCAAGTACACATACATTATATCCTAGAGGTAAAACGTGTTACAAACTATGATGCGCCAGAACCAATCGAGGACATACCTTGAAGTACATGATCAACCAACTCCTTCCCCACAACATCATAAACGTGCTGTTGCGATGCGTAATGAGGACGATCCTGAGCAGTGCTCCAAAGACAGTGATCGAATGTAAACGTGCGCTGCAATGGATCGTCGTTGAGGCTGGGATCCGAAGCTGAGGGGGACTGGATTCCCGAATGTGATGTTGATGATGACAACAGAGACTGATATGGTCTTGCTAGTAGCGCATGGGTCTTATCTGGAAAGTCCAGGATAATGCGAGCACGTTTCTGTTCTTCCTTGAGCGATAATGGTCTGGCTCGAAGCACAACCTGGAATTGAAATTTCAAAACTTTCGTTGAATTTTCACGATGTCATTGATCTGGATTCAATGCTCTGCTTTACCTTGACTGCCGACATGTGTAAAAATAAATAATCCTTTCAGCTGTATTGCTACTCTATGAGGTTTTGAACATCATCATTCACATGTGACACGTCTGTTTTACTTTTTGACACAAGGCAACATGTATCAGGCGCCACTGCTACAGACAAGAACGCCTTGACAGTACTACCAGATGGACGCGTCGGGATCTGCGGAAATGTTCCGTTCGTGTCGTCTTTGTTCCAAACGTTGCAATTGCTACTGGTCAAACATTCGCGTTGACCCGATGATTCCTTCACTGTCCATTTGACTGCATATGCTCAAATCTGATGCCAAAAGCTATGAGAGGATCCTATGCGTTGCTGATTCAAGCCAGAAGCCGTAGTAGCTGAGACTTGGAGCGAATGACGCCAATTGCGACACGTCACCTGACCCAGTATGAAGCTCACTGAGAGGATATATTTTCTGGTATTCATATCACATAGAAAATCGACGTGATCCCATTCTCATCGTCGATGTTCGATGTGTACTCGTCAACTCTGAAATTTCAAAACGTCTGTACGTGAAAAATTTGATGGACACGTTTCAAGAGTATGAATACGCAACCAAATTCATTTAAACACTGATGCTGACGCGAAACTATGCTGGAACGTGCCCTGTCGCAGTGTTTACAAAAAACTCAACTTTTTTTTGCAGAAACGTTGCATCTTATTACCAGAACAAACCCACTACATTCTAGCTAGGCACACCCCATAGATAGGATGTCACAAGGCCACGATCGAGATCCATGTCCCTACGTAATCATAAACGACTGTGGAGGAGCCTTTGCCATGGGCAGCATAGGAGGTGCTCTTTGGCACTCCTTCAAAGGCTACCGCAACTCGCCTCGCGGAGAACGCTTCTCAGGTGCAATCACAGCTATAAAAGCCCGTGCTCCCGTCCTAGGTGGTAACTTTGCTGTCTGGGGTGGTCTCTTCTCAACATTTGATTGCACAATCGCTGCAATCCGTCAAAAGGAAGACCCGTGGAATTCTATAGCTAGTGGAGCGGCTGCTGGTGCTGTATTGTCTGCCAGAGCGGGGCCACGTGCCGCTGCTATGAGTGCTGTTGTAGGAGGCGTCTTGTTGGCGTTGATGGAGGGGATTGGGATTGCTATTGGGAGAGCTAGTGCTGGAGCGTTTAAGCCTGTTGCTCCTATTATCCCGGATTTGCCTGCTGTTGCTCCAACTGCGCCATTGTCGCCTTATGCTGATGGAGTCGCACATAGTAGTAGTAATAGTAAAGCGAGCAGTGACGCAGACAAACAGGATGCTTGGCTGAATAATGCATCTGCTGGACAAGGAGAAGGAGCCACTCCTCTAGCGTCATCGCCCCCAGCTCAACCACAGCCACCAGCCAAACCTAAAGGTCGCTTTGGCTTCATATAAGCGTAAATCATAGTATTCAACAACCTTGTTTTTGGGTATTATCGTACATAGAACATAAATTCATCCTCTTCTCAACATTCCATCATGTTTTCCGTTGGTTGGAGAGCGCTTGCGCATGCCGGTCACAAACACCCTTCGATTGTATATTTATACTAAAACACGCCCCAATCTCATACTTCGGAATTCCTACAATTCTATACAATAAGGATTTACTATCGTGTTTACCACCTAATCAAGACTATACTACTCAATCAAAGCATTCACGACGTGTTGAATGTTAAAGTTACAGGGGAAGTCATCGTATTCATCTCCACCAGCCTTGTACAACTTGTCAACGGCGGTTGAATATTTTTCTGGATGTTCTGCTTTGTAAGTGGTCAAATCCGCAAGCACTTCGTTATACTGTTCTAGAGTGATATCTAGTCCGTTCACACCAGGGTTTTGAAGGCAGAGAGTCAACTGTTTTACACAAGTCAAGAATCTGTAAGTAGAGTAGTCATATGCGATGCAATGCATAACAACCACACCAACTCACGGCTGCAATGACAAAGGCAACAACAGGCACAGAATAGCTCGTCATCTCCCACTTCTCTGCTGGACCGCCATTGCCTCGAAAAGCAATCCCCAATGCTCGAGCTAGCACAGGACTCGAGTATTCATTGGTATCGTGTATATGGTTTTGGGTTGCGAGCAAGTCTTGAGCTGCTTCGTTCACGTCAATTGGGTTTTCCAATAACTCGCCCAAATTGTCCATAATGGCTTTTATCAAGACTGAACGGAACTTGGGAATGATGTGAACGATCTATAAGGCAGGCGGATAGATGTTAGTCAACAACACAGAAAGGGGGGGAATTCTAGTACAACGCTACTGTCAGCAAGAGCTACAAACTTGCCGTATTGATAGGAAGAGCGTTTGCATAGCCATTGGGATTGTTATAAACTATAGCTGATGCTTGTTGATACAGATCAATCCCCTGAAGAAAGACCGAGTATACGTCAGAAGCTGGTAGCCAACCCCAAAAAACATCATTCAGAAGATCTTGAAATACTCACCTCCGGGAAGAAGGACATATCACACGCATCGCGACAAACGACATCAATAAACGACGCATCCAACGGCACATTCTTTGATGCAGTTGGACCAAGTGGCGCTTGTCTCGTAGGATGCGCATCTTTACTACTACCGCTGGTGCTGCCAGTAACACGAAGCGGTGTTGATTCTTTACTATTGGCTCCACTGCCGTTACCATTAGTTGATGCAGATGACAATACGCGTGGTTCAGCTGAGTTGTCGATTGACTGTTGTCTGGTGCCTGCTTGTGGTGGAGGAACCCATTTTTCCATTGACTGTCCAGCGAGTTTGACGTATTTCTTTTCTAGTTTCGTCAGTCGTGGAGTACTAATGAAGGATGTAAGATATGTTGGAGTTAAAACGTCGAGGGTGACCGCTTTGAGATAACACCAACCACAACGCAAAGTGACGACATCTTTTACCTATCAGTAATAAACTTGTCCAAACCTTTCTGCATTGTCTTTACTCGTTTCAGCAACTTCATCAACGGGTGGTCTGCAGGCACATCTTCTTCGGCTGATGTCTCCTAAAATCAGGAGCAACCATGTAAATAAAAAAGCTAGAACGGTGATTTTCATGATAAATACAAAGTAAAGTACCTCTTCAAGCCGTCGACGTTGAGAAGATGGACTTGCTTTCACCACAGATGGCAACGGTTGTGATTTGGAAGCTGATGGTGTACTGTCACTTGGTTTGGTCTGCTTGGTCTTTTTAAACTTTCTGAATTCTTCGACATCATCGTCGTCTTCTATTGCTCGCTTAGACGACGAAGTCCCGCTCATCCTTGTCCTGGTGTCTTTAAATTAATTGCTGTAACAACACGAGCAGCAAGCTTACACGGCTCTTCAAACACAACAATCGTACCCTGGATCGTACCCTGGATCGTAACGGTATGACTACGCGATTCCTTGGTTTACAAATTATTTATTTTAACTTTACACATTTGAACAAAGATTTACACGACATGAATTCACGTTTTACACATCCGATTTCACTTCCTTTTTTCAGTTGGCAAAAAGTCTTGACCTCTTACCCAGCGTCCACAGAGTCTGAGATGCATGCTCATATTGTTCTGGGTGTGCATATCTAAAGTCCTCTAACGCAGCAACTGCCTTGGATGTCTTTTTCTTGCCGTCAAACTGTGCTGTCTGGAAGAATGGATTCCTAAGACAATGTTCCAGCTGAACGGGCAGAGTGTAGACTTGTTAGTGACAGGGATTGGATTCCAAGACCGATGTAAAGTTGATTACCAGAGCAGATGTAAAAGCGATTGTTGGCAGACTATATTGCGCCATATTCCAGCGTTCTGGGATGCCGTCTGAGAAAAAGCAGGCTAGAGCCCTTCCAAGAACAAGAGAAGTATAATACTAAATGGTTATAAGACTCAGTAACCTCAAGATCAGGATGGAATAATGTGAATGATCACCGTGTTCCCGACGTGCAAGTGAGAGTTGGAGGCCAGCAACTTTTCGCATTCAGCCTCGATAGAAGCTCCATGTTGCAAATTGACAACTTTGGTAAGCATTGAAAACAGGTATGTCTTCCAAAATGCGCGATAATCAGCGACAAACCCTCTAGCCTATAAGTGACAATAAGTGCAAGCTTCGGAAACAGATAGAGGTATGAAACTCCTCCAACCAATCACTTACAGCTGTGAGAGTCGTAACATTTTGGTACTCGTCGCTGTCTCCAAAAGCACCGAGACTGGATTCAGCGAATATATCGTTCTAAGAAGCGATGGAACAAGACTCAGGCTCAGACATTTACGCAGTCATGTTCAATTCGAAACTTACATTGTTTGGAAAGAAGCCATGCTCGCAAAGATGCCTATGGAGGTGGTCCTTGAACAAGTTGACACGCAATTTCTTGCCATGATCAATAATCTTCTGCTGCTTATGGAGTAGCGACTCGCCAGTGGAAGTTGAAGGCGAGCTAGTTTGCCTCTTGATGAAGTCTGGTAGCCCAAACTTTTCATCGTCCAGTTCAGAGTGACGAGAGGACTGGATGGGAACGGTGGATATTTTGAGAGCTGCCCCTTGTGACGAGGAAGACAATGACGAGGGAGTGGAAACTTTTGTAGTTTTAGCTGCTTTACGACTAGGTTCTGGTTTAACTGGGCGAGGTTCTAGAGTGACTTGAGTGGATGATGCTGTTGCTGGTGGTAGGGGATGTCCACGCTGATAGTCCGATACCTGAGTTTGCAGGGTGTTTACAGTAGTAGTGAGTTCCTCGATCTGGGCTAACCTAATAGCAAGGTCGAGTCAGTTCATAAACATGCGAATGAGATTGATGTCAAACTGTATCACTTGCGATGTCATGGCAAAGACTTCAAACTGGCTCTGTAGACCGTTAAGCTTGGATATGACTTGTTCTGTAGTCAGCGAGGTATTTGGAGATACATCAGTCTAAATAACAAAATGTCAGCTCCAGACATTGAAAAGATAGGTCAAACAACGTTTGCCTTCTGTGGGGCAGCCGAGCGATGCAATCTAAAGTCATGAACTTCATCATCGTCTAAGGCTTCTGATTTTATTCGCTTCGCCATCTTTCGTAAACGCTGACGAGGAGATCAGAGTTCAGGACGAACATTTTGACCTCTCTCACGAGAATGCAATTCTAAAATAAAGAACTAACACGTAGTTCCCACCTGTTTAGATTCAATGGAGGGAAAGGACGACGTGCACTCCAGCTTTCTGGCCGCAACCTACCATTATCGCTCAAGGAGCCTTTTAAAAGTATGGAACTAATATTCTGAATCACCCCATGGCAAGTTTTCGCCCGCCCCATCCTGTTTGGTCTCGTTATCATCGCGGAACTGCAACATCAAACCGGATTGTGTCGCGTTTTCGTAAACCTAAACCACCTTCAAAGACCGGCGCCCTCAACATACTCGCAAGTTCTTCAAATATCAAATATGTATCCTTGAAGGTCTATGCCCTGACCGTTCGTGCGAACCCTCGGTCCACCGTGATTTTGGAAGAATGACAAGGTCGATGCTCGCTCACCAGATGGTGAGTTACTTTCTTGTTGCCAAGGAATCTACTCTACGACAGTTGGTTAGTTTTATGGAAGTGCGTTTGATTCTCAAATGAGTGTTCGTCTCATGCAACATTCGAGCTTACGTCAAAACTCTCAGTAAGTGCTTGCGCGTGTCAGTTCAGGCAAAGCGACCGGCAATCCAAGCAGTGGGGCCAGCCAATAGCACTCTTTTGGCTATTGGAATTGTTAACTCTCGCGGGTGTTACTATTGGTGCGTCTTTCCGTCAAGTGGTCCGTTATAAATGTCGTCGTGCTCGAAGAGTGATTTATATTGCTGAATCTAGAGGTTGTGTTTACTTTTAACGTTTGACCTTTGTAATAGGACCATTTCCCAATAAACACATAGCCTGACAGATGAAACAAGCTGACAGATGCACGCTGAACAATTTGGAGTTGTAGTCTTCACTACAGTGCAAAACTAATCGAACGACAAAGGCTTTCAATCTATTTAGATGCCTGGACGTTCTTATAATACTTTAATAGAGACAGTGGTTTTAAAACAAAGGTGCAAATAATAAATTGACGCAGAGATATAGTAGCAGCATAGAGGTGCTTTACGCGGCAGACGGAGCAATCTTGCTGGCAGGTACAATCTGTGACAAAAGCGGGATCAAACATGTTAGGTCTTCGAAACCACACCGATTTCTTCAAAATGCCGCTTACCAAAACAAGATCAGGTGTGGGCTCTCGTGGTGGTGGAATAACGGGTGATTCAAGAGAATCCGGTGACAAGCTGGAGCCCTTGTTGGCAGCTGCAGCTTCAGTGGCCGGAGACGAGTGCGTGACATTGTAGTAGAATTTATCCATGTTTGATCCTCCTCTGTTTCTTCTGGGTGGAATTGGATGTACGAAGGGCACTACTTCAGGCGCTAGTGGTGGTAATCCTGTC